GTCATTTATTTTAATACTCAGAATTTTATGAATTACTATAGTAGATAATTTTACATTTGATGAAAAGTTTAATAGTGCCGTAGTCCATGTTTATATAATATATGGTAGTTAAAACATCTATTTCATTCGAAGAATCGTGGTCCTCAAACAGTAAACACTAAAAATTAGATAGTGATTAATGACTAATTAGGAAAATTAGGTGGTAATAATCAATTAAAGTAAATATCTTTACGTATTTATACTACTAGTAAACTTTAACTTTAACTAATAACAATGTAGGTAATACATATTTTACAGTCGCTAAGTGTCTAAATCTGCTGTCACAGGATAAGTCTAAGTATGTCGAGAGGTATTCCAAATGACAATAACATATTTACAAAAAAAAAAAAAATAGTATTAATAGAATAATGAACATCTGATATATCAGATGTTCATTATTATATAACTGTGGTGATTACTGAATATAAGTTATCTGTTGTATTTCAATTTAAAGATATTTGAATAACTGACAACGGAAGTGGAGCCGTCACTTATCGGAATTAAAACGTCCAAGCTCTTCAAATTAAATTTAACGAGCTCGTGCAAATGGAATTTTGGGTATAATAAAAAAGAAAATTTAAGTTGGATTTCATTGATTTGCATGGATATTTATTCAAAAAGTTCACGTAAGAATTTAAAATGAAAAAAAAAATGAAAAAATGAGTTAAATTAGCTTTAAGCCGGGCATACTGTGTTCAGTTCGAACTGTATAATATCCAGCCTATTATTAACTATCATGCCATCAATATTCAATGTTGATTTAAATTTTTAAGAATCCGTGATATTTTTTATCTTTTTCTTACTTTTTAAAGTTTATTTAAAGTTAAATACATGAATCATTCTGTATAATATATTGTCTCGAGAATTGTATCGTGTATAGTACTATAGTGTATACTAATCAAATGTACTAAAATCACTATTATAATACTACCAAATCCAATCTAATCTTCTATGGGTAATGCCGAAACGTATTCATAAAATAATTAAATTATCATTATACCTATTATATTTTTAGACTTATTTTTTTATAAAGGTTTGTGTTACATATTTTAGTCTCCACTGTTAAAATATTAAATTTGATAACATAATATTGGTATAATAGGTCACAATAATTAGTCTTCATACCTGCCTATACATATTATGCATGGCTGGCCAGGCACCTACCGGGTATATAAAATTACTGTTTACATTTGTATGTTACATATTTATTATAATTTATGACATAAATTACTTAATGTCACTTAATATTAATTCTATAAAACTCAGACATATTTTATTTGTTTTTTTCTTTTTACATTACTTCATTAAAAAAATAAAAGCATCAAGATATTTATAGTTTAGATCCGTCGATCCGCGAAGTAATAGACCACATTTTCTGGGTTAGGTCACTCCGTCCATCAAAACTTTAAGTAATTATTTGGTACCTATAACCTATTATACCTTATAACAATTAATTAGAAACACTTCTTCGAAATTCAATGTTCATACATAAAAACTCTCAGAAAAACATTCGATAACATTCGGTATATGAAGTTAAAATGGTATTTGACTATTCAAAGAAGTAAAAAACTTAAAAAATGGTGTTGTTAAATATATTATTTTCAAAATGTTTGTTTCGTAAAGACTTTAAATTAAGTAAAAAAAATATTTTTAAAAACGTTAATCGTTTTCAAGATAACGAGTGTTCACTTTTAACATAATTATCCCATATACATAGGTACCATTATATGATTTGATAAATATAGTATCTTGGTAAAAATACGTTTGAGTGTAATATTGTTGGTAGGATAGAACATAGAATTCATGTTAAATTACATGTTAATTTGACATATACCTACTAATTATTTTTGTTAATCGCATGGAGATATGTCTTGACAGTTGACACTATAAAGAAATACGTATTTTTCATAATATAGGAATCAGCAAAGTATAACACCGTATTCTTAATTAATGACAATACTTATTTTATGCATACATTACATATATGTACTAGAATTATTTAGTAATTTGAACGATAATATGTATAATATATATACTATAATATATATTATCTAACATTTAATCATATATATATACATTATACAAAAAAAAACAATTGTACTATTGTACCTATTGTACTTAAAATGTGTAATTATATATTGTAGTGTACTATATTATACTATATTATAGTATATATATTATAAATCTACTATTAATTTGTAAATATAATATTATATAATATGTATACCTAGTATCCTGGTTCATGTTTTTCAAGATGTTCACATTAATATTATAAATATTTATTTTCAATTATAAAAAATAATACTAAAAAAATATTAGAAACATTTACACAACCGCACTGAAAATGTTAACGGCGTATACTGACCATATGCAATACCAACCTGCATGGTACCTACCTACCTCTTGATAATTTAGTAGGTACCTATATTACACTATAACCTACCTACTACACCTACCAACTACAGCTTTCTATCATCAGTGATCGGTCTCTGTTTAGTTTAAGAAAAATCTCGAATAACTGTAAAACAATATTGGCAAGACTCTTAGACAACACAACATTATAACACATACAGAGTGTGTGCCTATAACTAATGTTAATGATACTATAATAGTTGTACAATTGTGCATAGAATATGTTGTACAATGTAGGATGTACCTACACATTTTTAACTTTTTAAGTGAAAAACATTAGCATGATATTATCATGATGTAGTCGTGTAGGTATTACAATTAAGTAATAAATGTACTATTATTTACAATAACTGTTAATGAAAATAAATGAATTTAGATTATATAAAATTATAATCAATTTGAAGCATAATAAAGTAATATAATATGAAATAATAGCAAAATATTTGAATGAAAAATTATGTAAAATAGCTACAATAGTCGCTAATTTTGATAAGTATTAATATTCAGCGACGTATAAGGATAATATAGTTTATGGTCAAGTGAACTGAATTCAAGAGCCTTACAAAAGGGACCCCAACAATTATTGACTGATCGCATCGCTTTCCATTTATAAAATCATTGTATACCTACTTGAATATTCTGACTATCATATTAAAAAAAAAATTATTATGTAACAGTATGGACATTTAATCACAATACAATAATGCAATGGACCTTTGACTAGGTCGTCAGTACAATGTACATTTCTTAAACTTCTTTCTTGGCAAACAAAAAGTGTATGATATACTGTTATTAAATTCGATTGTTGATTGTTTTTTCTTTAATATATATGGAAACGAATAGGAGTTTAGGTTGTACTTAATGCAAAAATATTGTTTATATTTTAGATTCTGAGTGGAGAGATGAATGTATTGATTTTACAATGATGTGTGATTTTTTTTTTCGTGTCTATCATCACGGTTTGGGGCAGTAAAAGTGCATCAATTTTCTTCAATAGCAACTTTTCTGGTAGAAAAGTGAACCTAGTTGGTGCAATGGGAGCCGGGAGGTCAACATTTAAAATTCACAATAGTTTTCAAAAGCGACAGGAAATACTTGAATTTTTACACAAAAACAGTTTTCGAAAAAATAAATTTTGGTTTTTAGTGTAGGTAACTCCAAAAAAATGACCATAGATACATGAACATTTCACTGAATATTTGTGTTAACATTTTTCGAAATATTTTGACTTATGTTGTACTATTTATAGGCCACAATTTTCGATTTTTTTTTGCTGACTATATTAATGTCGATAAAAAATTTTCGCTGTCAAAAAAATTTAAAATGTAATGCAAGGTTCCTCCTCAGTTGTTGTTAGAGGAAATTAAAAAAAAGTTAGAGCGTAAATCTACGATGATTTCTTATGAGCGTTTGATATTAGAATTTTGTCAGAATTCGTAAAAATCATGAAAATTTGCAAATTATTTTGAGTTAGACTGTCATAAAAATTGTTCTATTTATATCTATCATTTTAAAATTCAATACTACATTCCTTAGAAACTTTTCCACCTTTATAAAAATAAAAAATTCTACCGGAAAGTCAACTTAAATTTGTATGAGCATTTGAAGTTTAAATTTGTACAACATTGGATACCTATTCATTCATTTTCTTATTTCGTTGTATAATTCGAAAACAAATGACTGCAGGTTAGGTACTTGAAATTTACAATGTTTGTTTATTTTATTAATTCATATACTCGACGAAATTTTCAAAATATTCTGACTAGTTTTGAGCTACCTACAATTTCCAATTTTCAATTGTTTTATAAATATCAATAAAATTGTACTTGTCGGATCAAAAAGCGTGAACATTTTATACAAGGCTACTAATATGTTGTCGCAATATAAGTTGAAAAATATTAAAAACTCATCATGGCATGATTTTTTTTTAGAAGGAAGTTTAAATTTTGACAAGATTTATATCATTTCACAGTTTTTTATAGTTGTTTCATGTTCAAATGTAGACAAAATTACATATTAAATAGTGAAGATTTATAAATGGATTAATCCATGATTAATCCTTTTTAATCCCGTATAAAACCGGGACAACGCTCTCTAATTATTAAATTTGATTATTTTTACAAGTATGCAAGGTTATACTATATAGGCTTACATACTGTCTCCGCTCAGAACCATTTTTTGTTATGAACAATGATTTATCATTGAATTCAAATTTAACACATCTAATACAATGACGTAGGTACTCAACAATAACTGTATAGAAGTGTACCCAATTAGCCACTTTTTCTTTATTTAATCATTCAAATTTTTACAACTTGCAAAAACACAGTAATCAAATACTGAGTTATATAATAATATTTGATTATGGAATTTAAATACACATATATTGAATCATGTGATGATATATAGGTATTAGTTATAAACTGTAAAAGATCACTTGAAAATTCTAAAGAAATATGAAGGATGGTATTTCACTATATATATATTGCTTTACTCCATCTCTCTTTATTTAAAGGACAAAGCTATCAATAATAATGAACATTTATGTATTCAAGTAAACAGACAAATTTGGATTACTTTATTAACTTAGTTAACATATTAAAATTTACAATACATTATTTGTTATACATTTTAAGGTACATAATGTCCTCGCACTTTATGATAACTTTTTATTTTTTCAATGTCCACTGTAGGATATTGTTGTTTGACAGCATCCATGTCCATATTTGGATAACGCTTCATCAGATGCATCACATGGTTACGATCCCGACTTAAAAAAAAAATATATACATTTATATTAATACATATAATCAACATACAATTATTTGTTTAATTCTTTTTAATAAATTACAGACAATTTTTCTAATAATTGAGGATTATAACTAAATCATAATATATAAAGTATATAATTTATTTAGAATTTTAAAATCAATACAATTATAGAAAGGTGTTGATTATCCACACTAATTGCGACTGAGAGACGAGCAAATCATTAATTTGTGCAGAGAATCAAACAATGATTAAAAATTAATAGGAAAAAAAATTTTTTTTGAATGATTTGAATGTTTTTCAACATTTAAGTAACTAGAAGTAAAAATAGTACCCTGTAGCCATATATAATATTGTTAATAATATTAATGATAAACTGGAATTGATGTCAGTATTACAAATAACACAATGATTCAGTAGTGTGAATGGTTGAGACCAACTACATAAATAGAACTTCTTTTAGAATATTAAGAATATAAATTTTAGTACTTCAGTACTATACTTCTATTTCACGTTAATATTTTAATATCCATAGAAAAATTGATGTTATTCTACACCTTACTCAGAATAATCAAATTTTTTCAGTATTCCGATTAATGACTCCAAAAATAAAGTGAGATTAATATAAACAGGTATATTATTAGTTCTAGTTGATAATTTCTAAAAATAATGTGTTCGGTAAATATTATCACAAATTTTTTTTAATCAAATACAAAATAGAAAATACTAGGAATAAAATTTATCCAAGAATCTGAAGTGCCTATATGATTTAAGTAAATAACTTTTGAATATTCTGTATTTATTTTAATCATTTAATCACCATATTAAATACTTACTTTCTACTTTTTCTATTAGCATTATGTAATTTTTCTCTATATAACCTTTGGAATTTCTCAATGTTTCCATTAACAATATTAAACGTATGTTTGTCTTTCCATTGTTTATTCAAAAATTTTGGTATTAAATGTTCAAATTTACGATAAAAAAAGTTCAACCCTGAAAATATAATAAAATACATGATCAATATTACAAACATGATATGTCTACTCGAATTGCATAACTTGTATTATACAAAATGATCATTGATAAATATGGACTAAATTATAGTTAAACTTAATTAAACTATGAGACTAATATTATTAAAAATTAATAACTAGGTATATAAAAAAACATATATTAACTTAGAAATATTTTTATCTAATTTATTACTTCTTTAAAATTATTTGAAGTCATTTTCTAAAAAAAACAATTTACCCAATAAATTAGTAACTAATTGTCCAGGTCTTTCAGCAGATTCTCCAACTTCTAATTTGTAATAAGCATCATTACGTTCACGCACGACAGTTTCTAAATTATTCATGCTTTCTTCAACCTTTTAATAATAAAAATAAATGTTAATTTTACTATGGATAACAAATAAATAACTTTATTAATATAATAATATAATTAAAAGAAAACCTTATCAATACGTTCTGGATTTGGGAATAATTCAAATTGAGCTTTGCATTCATGTTCCATAGTTAATAACATATTGCGTTCTTTAAGTAATACATACCTGCACAATATATAAAGAAAACAATAAGTCTAGATAATGGTAGAGCAGTAATACATAAGTATAAAAATTACAAACATTTTGATAAAAAAGATAAATCATTTTATTTAAAAAACAATGATAAAAAGACCTTAAAGAAACTAAGTTCACTGAAAGGTTTTCAATATTTTTAATAGTTTACAATAGTTTTTTATGCTTAGTTTACATCTAAAATTATCATTATAAAGAACTAAATTCAAGTTCTAGTCTTATTGATTACAAAGTTACTTGAAAGTTTAAGCTATTAAAAGCGTTTTCATTACCACAAGAAAAAAGAAAAATTAATCATAAATTAAAATTAGTACATTCATCAATATATTCCTCAGAATTTAAAATCTAAAATTGAAATTAAATGTTTATAACTTTTGAGTACATAAGTACCTAGTTATTACATGAAAATAAACGTTATCTGAAATAATTAAAAATCTAGGGTTTAGTATAAAGTTAATCAATCGAATTATATTATTTTACTTCATAGTTGTACATATCAATAATAATCAACTTCCTTGCAATTAGTGAGCTAATGGTCCCTTAAACATGATTTAGTAGCCTGAGAGGTGAATACAATTTTATTGAACCATTAAATAACTTTTGTATGCAACCCACAGTATTTAGTATACCAAAATAAAAATCATATATATTTATATTCAAAAAATTTGTTTCATTACCAAAGTTTATGTAAATCTTGATTGCTTTTAATGCGCAACTCATCTTTAGACCACGATCTCCCAACTTTTACTTGTTCAACAGCCCAATTTTTTTTATCATCAAAAAATTCCATTAAATCACGATGAACAGTTGAAATATGAATACCATTTGATCTAAAATGTCAATCACAAGTTTAAAATAAAAGCTAATGCATTTATAATTTAAATCGTAATTCATAAGTAAGTATTAATTGCACATGTTCATAACATTTAGTGTAACGAATTACAAGTTAATAGAATAATTTAATATATGTTTCATAAAAATTAATATACCTTAAATTAGTGTGAAATGTTGTGTTTGTAATATATTGGAAAATACGACACTTCGATAGAATTCGAAAAGCCATAGTAGTATAAATATACAACTATGTTAATAAATACAGAAAATTCTATAATAAATTTTGATCGTATTCTTGACTATTGTATTTAAATAATTAAAATATTAAATCACGAATTCTTCATCCTCGATATGTAACAGAAATATCTAAAATAATGAAATCTAAAACTAAATCCTAAAGTAGTAAATTTTCAATAATTTGATCATTTTGATACCATAGTTCGTGATAGTAGAAGTATATGTAATTATCACGATTAAAGATATATCTTTAATCGTGGTAATTATATTAAAGTAAATGGACACACTGTAATCTGTAATCTAAAAGGCTTATCATAATATTATTATACCACAGTTATACCATTACCTAACCATTATTTTTCTATGGTTATACCACAGAATAGATTTAATAAAACCGAGCGGTTCTGCTCCCCAAGATAACAGAGCCTGTTCTGGTTATTCCGTGATAATTTCAAATTTGACCGATTGGCGATTAGTATCAACTGTTAACTTTTCTGTAAGACACACTAAAATGCTTATTCACTTTAAAATTTTAAGTATTTGTTCCTTGTAGTGAGTCGCGACTCTTAAACCATAAAACCATTGAATAATATGATTGTGAATACGGAATACCTATAAAACAATATTACACAATACAATCTACTGGTATTGTAAAGTAAAAATTAAAAAAATCAAAACCAATGGCTGATGTTAACGAAGGGGTAAAAAATCATATATTATTATTATTGTTATATCTATTAGTAAAATGTCAACATTTAATTTATGACAAATAAAATAAATATGACATTTGTTGCACATTATTGATAAACATAATATAATGAAATATTTTTTAATTAAATTGAACTATCTTGAATGGTTTAATGTGTTTAGATAATCATATTTATTGTGGAGATGTAGTCACAAAAAAATGATTAGTTGATCTAGTTCCTTAATTCAATTTCAGTATTCCACCCTCAATTACAACAAAATGTTATAGTACCTATATTGATAAATATAATTTGTCTTAGACACTTTTTGTGGTGGACGAAGTAAACGACATTATTAAGGACTCAATTGAACATTCAATTGGTAGTCAATTATACCAACAAAATATGGTTAATAAATGGACAGATTCTGTTATTGAAAACAGTCTAACAAAACTTTCTAAATTGGGAAAACCTTTTAAATATATAGGTAAAGTAGAAATATAATCATTATTATTTATTTATGTTCTATGTTTTATTTTTGACTGCTGTAATATATTTGACAACTATTTAATATAAATAAACATTTTTTTTTCTTATTGACAGTGACGTGTGCCATTATGCAAAAAGTTGGTGCTGGTCTTCATTCAGCAAGTTCATGTTTTTGGGATAACATGACGGATGGTAGTTGTACTGTCAAATGGGAAAACAAAACTATATATGTTATTGTAACTGTTTTTGGCCTAGCTATTTAAATAGTCAAACTAAATTAGTACATGTTTACACCATTAAATAAAACATTATATGTTTTATACAATATGGTCAATATGTATGAAAAAAGAAAATATTTTTCTTATTTTTAGTTTTGTGATATCACAATCAGTACAATTTTTATTGATATTTAGATGTATAGATATAATATAAATTTAATTCATGTGATATAAATTAATTAATTGGTTGATAAAATATTAATAACTAATAACTAGAGAAATAACAAAGTAACAATCAAAATGATCACTATTGAATAATTTGTATTTTAATTTTAATTATGATATTTATTTTATTATCAGCTGTATTTTAATATAAAGCATGAATGTAAAATGTAATGTAATATTGTACTGATCAACTGATTGTGATTTATTTTAATAAAATTGTGTCTAATGCCTAACAATAAATATTTTTATTTAATTTACTTATACACAAAGTTTTATCAACGTATTTATAATTTCAAACCCAAAAATAATATAGATTTAACTGTACATTTTTTTGTTTACAATTAGTTTTACTTGTAGCTACTATAAATTTGTAACACATATTATTTGTGGGTTTACTTTCAAAAGCATCTCATCGGATTTTAAAAATTTGACAAATTTGTATTAAAATAATATTTAAATATGTAAAATATATCTGATGCTATACTTTTATGCTGTTTATTTAATTTTTTTTTTTACATTTTTACTGTTCCTAATTATTTAATTTGTCTCTTTTAATTACAATTAAATTAATTAGACTTTTAAAACAAGTAGGTAACCCATATGGAACTGCAATGTATTCCCACAAAATTGAAGAAACAATATTGTTATACCTTTATACAAACATGAGAATTCCTGGTTTTTCCCAATCATTGAAAAAAGTACTGAGAATTTTATAATCTGTGCTTGAGTTCTCAATAAACTAATTAGATTCACTTTCCCACCAGAAAAAATTGAAAATCCAAGTATTTTTAGTTTTTACTGTTTCAAAAGGTGACACTAAAATAGCCACATTGATGCAAAATCATCATCAAATATCAATCATCATTCATCACTCATCTCAGTTCAGAATCAAAAATCCACTAGTCTTGATTAAAGATTTGTTATTTAAAAACAACAATTCATGAAATTATTACGATTTGTAATTTCTTCCCATGCCTTACTGTGAAAATCCTGATCCGATATAGAGATAGACCTAAATAGTTGGCAATGTTTTGGTATGGAAAAAACAGTAGCTACCTATATAGTTCAACCGCAGATTTTATTAAATTTTAATTAAGTTTAATAGAATCTGTGGTTCAACTTTGAGTCACGCCTCAGAATTAATAAATGATTAAACTTACAACGTCACAAGTCACAACTGCAAATTGGCAAAATCAATAACCTTATCTTTTACACCCGAGTAATGGTCTGGAGTGTTTGTCTGGTGTGTTTGACCAAATCGATGAAATAATAATAGACCTATAAACTACCTAGGTACCTAGTCTATATCTATATCAATGAAATCCCGAAATAACATGATAATCTCGGGTTAATCACTTTAGCTGGATCATCACTTGACCTCCAGTAAATTATAAAATACAGAAGAAATTATTTAAGTAGGTATTGAATAAATATCTTTTTAATTTATACGGTTTGGCCTTATTTTGATAGGTAATTGATGTTTATTTAATTGTAATGAATCAATTGTATAATCAAAAATAATAAAATACCTAATTCAAGTACATTTTTTTTTATTTATTAAGGTCATAGGTCAAATGGTCAATAACAGCATAATAAAAAATGAACGATCAAAAGAATCCATTTTACTCTGTTATTTTTAATATTAGGGTGAATTGAGTGATTGATTAAATGTATAGGTGGGTAATATAATATATTTACGTTTTACTATTGGATTCATTCTAAGTTCTAACGTTAAAAATGATGGAGTAAAATACATTATTCTGAACGTAAAAAATAGGACGCTACACTTGCCGCTATATAATTGTCTGTTTTACACCCGCATTACATTGCAAATCAAATAGGTATCAATAATACAGTAGGATAACTAGGATTCTTACTATATATAGCCATACAGGTAGGTACCTACTGTCAAATTACAGTTAATATTAGATCAAAGTTAGTTATTATTGAATTTATAGAGAATATAAATTGAGCTCAAACGACAAGCGTATATTACGTATAAACTATAATAAAACGTCAATCGCATCATTCACGATGCGCAAAAAACGATTGTTCTCTTTCAAGAAGAGTGTAGGTGTTTTTATTTTAAAATGAGTTAAAATAAAATTACTTAAACAACTCATTTTAATGGTTTTAAAATAAAAATAAGAATACAAAAACTCTACGCTCTGGTTCAATATTCTCCTTTACAAATTCATTAACATCTAAATTTGTTCTAATATTAACTAATAACTACAAATAAACTGCAGTAAGAAATAAGAATCTGGTACGCATTACGCGTGTCGCGTGTGTAAGACAGAGACAACATATGCGGATGCGAGTGTAGCATCTTCTTAAGCTCTTTGAACTCTAGTTAGTAGTTACCTAGTCATAAGATAGATATTTCACGTCACGGTGACGACATAAACATTAAACACAACAACAAACAATTATTAAGCAATAGACATTGCCCATTAACCATTAGGTGCTTCCAACAATCAAATTTCTACGAAACTAATTTAAACTTATTAATTATACATTTTTTTTTCTTTCAAATAGTAGTGGGGGCTACAGTTCATGGATATTTGGTTACTTTTAACCTAAAATTCAGTTTTTAATCAATTAAAAAGTGAAATGACCGACGTTTAATTACCAATTATACGCAACAGTTTACGCAACAACTGCCGTTGTGTCGTCTAACAAGACGTGCCTACTGTCCAGTTACAACCACAGCTAAAGATATTACATAGATACTCAGTACTCACCCAGTGCCCTCGGGCTCCGACCCCGCAAATCGCAATTTCTGTTGACTGCAACGCACTCTAACAGCGATAGTGATTATTCCTTATCTACTATCATCATTGACGTATAAAATATAAATTGTAGATATAATATTTTTTAAGGTATATTGGCTATATTATTACTTGTAATAATTATTTGTTTCCAGCAGTTGTTACAGTTACCTCGTCGAGTCGGCGGTCGCTGTTGTTCGCTAATAATTAACTCGTTAGTCGTTTAAAGTTGTAATTTTGTTCCGCACGTTTGATTCTGTTAAGTGATAACTAATAACTATGCGTTATTAAACATTTTTGTTGTAATTTCTATTTCACATACTCAGAAGTGTCAAACAACTACAACAACAATTATGACGACTAAAAGTTTTTTCTGGACATTATCTTATGTTTTTCTTACAATCTCCACAGTGTCTCCTCACGAAGGTAATTTACATTTATCTAAATACATATTATCAATGACGTACTTGACTCAGGTTTGTTTAATGATCTATTCAGTATGCACTCATACATTTACAACTTTAGTGTTTCGGTGTTGTGCATTTTGAATTCTATATTTCATTGGTACTTTATATTAAAAAAATATTTCTATGTATAACTACTTACATGCCACTATTTTATTTAGAGGTCATGGTAATTATTAGGTACCTACTTTCATATTATACATTAATATGATAATCTTAAACATCTTGCTTCTTGATATAATTTTGTTGTAACATAGGTAAACAAGTAAATGAAAGTAGGACGTTTTCCTTGTGTTAAAATCATAGACATTTTAGATGTAATGTATTTTGCTTGGTACTTTTATATATAATGTATCTATGTATGTATATATATACCTAAATCCAAGTTATGGATGTATTAAATGAAAATTAATTTTTAATAACAAAAAAAGTATTGTTTACATTTTAATATGAGATTACCTATTAAAAAAATTATAGGATGGATCATAATATAATCTGATATTTATGATAATGCATATTTATTAGATGTCGAAAGTTGCAATTGCATATGGTTATAAACTATTTAGGTTATTATTCTAATTTATATAAAGTATTAGATATCATAATTATGTTTTACTTATTATAAATGTAATTATTTTTATAGAAATAAGTATAATATGGGTGTATCATTTATATACTATGCTTGATAAATGAACATGTTGTAATTCAAATAGAAAACATATAGGCAGCGCCTAGGGATCGGCCCGTGAGTTTTACGATTTTAACCGGCCCTAAAAAAGTTAACGGCCCATTTTTCAATAAGATTAAGTCATTAATAGGTATCCATATTTTAACAATAACACCATATATCATACAATATAAATTATACATATTATATTAAGCAGTAATGTTGACATAGATTAATAATAAATATAACAACTAAGCCGCCCCACCGAGTTCAACTCGGTAACTCGCCGACTCTATCCGGGCCTGCATATAGGTACTGGATTAATGATGTAAAAATATACAGTTTTCTCCAGGGTTGGGACGTATTATAATCATATATATAATTTATGTATTATACCTGTGTATATTGTATATAGTAATATTTTAAGATAAAACTCTAGCACTTATTTTATATACTCGAATATACTGCATTATCTCAATATTCATTGACATCAAACTTTTTGCATCCTACTTATCAAAGGTTGAGACTTACTAATGACAACAATGGCAAAGCACATATTGATATTGTAGAAGAATTTCCATTGTCTTCATTAAGTTTTCATGAGTTTTAAGAAAAGGATTTTTGGAATTTTATTAAAGAAACAACAGTTAACTCTTAGATTATGAAAAAAATGTCAACTCAACAGATGAATACTAATTACTAAATATTAATCATAATTAATAATTATTAATTATTCTTAACATTATAAACTATGCACGTAAACTATTCTTACTTCACTAACATCATTTTATTTTGTACAACAAACATTTCAATTTGCTAATAATTCATGAACGGTTATTAAATTCACACAAGTTAAAAAAATAATTCAAAAGTCATTTAAGATAATTCACTCGTGTAATTGATTGTAAAAAATCTTAAAAATTGTTCAACTAGTACCAAACGCATACTAACTCGGCTACATGTTGATAGTATAGCCGGTGATTTAGGAATACAATGTATAATATGGGGAAAAAAAGTTTTATAGTTATCGAGTATTGATCTCATACGACATGTATGCCAACAATTTGCAAAAAATATAATATAATATTACTATGTTAATTTAGATTTTATTTTATTTTATCTTAATGTGATCACTGATTAAAAGAATTAATCTTTATTTGAATCAAATAATAGAAATCTAAACCAAATCATATTACGTTTGTAATGACAAATGACCCGAGTTTGGGATGAATGCCATTCAATTTACACGAACGTCAATCGTTTTTTTCAAATTGAACATGAACAACATTTATATTTTATTATCAATTTATTTGCCATTTAATAATTATTTCTTTAAAATATATTGATTAATAATATTTCTTATTATAATAAATTTCTATTATAAAAAATTAAAAAAATTAAATGAATGATTTAGTGAAGCGTTCATTTGGAAAAAACACAAACTTGAACGAAATAATTTTTTTAGTCAACTTTCAGAATATTACAAATTATCTTTTATTAGAATCACTGTGTATGAGATGATTTAATCACTTTATTAGGTAGCTGAAATACTAAATAGGTAGTAAAAATTAGAGCTGATTATAATCCAAGCATAATTTAATTACTATTAACTACCTACGTAATTTTAGGCTAACAGAAATTAATTTATGGCGCTTAAGTGAAATAATCTATCATAAGTTTTTTTTTTCTTCAGTAATACGTTTATAATAAGTAAAATTTATAAGTTCCTATAATAATAAAGGATAACAAAAATTATGTATATATTATTGAATTAAATCGGTAAAAGGATAATTGTTATGTGCACAAGCCACTAATTTGATAATTCATAATGTTAATCAAGACTCATTGTATTTATTTGTATATAAAAGTAATATATTTGAATAAATTAGATAGTAACATAATTTTTTGGTTCTAATATCAATAGCATTTACAGGAAAAGTCCTTTGTCAGAACTCGATATAGATTGGTTAACAATTATTGTTTGTTTTTTTTTAGTATAGCTGTATGTACAATAGATTGTGATTTTTAATTGTACCAGTTAATAGTTTAATAATAAATACATGAAATTAGTGAGAAAATATCTACTTAGTTAAACCTAACCCTGTAAATTTTGATAGGTTTAATTCACATCAAATATTATGTATATTAAATTGTATCAATTTAAGAAGTGTTATTCATGTAAATATTTATATCTCTTTGATTTTTATATTTAAATGTTTTTAACATATTTTGCCATATTTTTTAATTTTACTATTTTTGTTATTTTAATCAATAAAATTTTTATTTTTTTTGCAGACCATTTTTATAAAATCTCTACACAAGATAAGACTTTTTTAGATACCAATATAATTACACTTCCAAATGTACGAATAAAAAGATTAGCTGAGTCTCTTGTTACTAACACTAGTACTACTACTCAACAAAAACATATTTCTATTCAAGCAATCATAGACAAAAAAAATGGAACAAAACAAACAAAACAAGGTAAATACCTACAAATCTATACATTAAGGATCAGGAATGTATCAAATTAAAAAAAAATTGTATTTTTCATCACATGTTGGTTATTCATTATCATCATAAAGTTAGGAGCTTACTTTAATTAAACCTTGTATAGACATTTTATTTGGTGGGTGGACAACAAAGTCTATTGCGACGAGAGGTGGAAGGGTAGGGAAACATTGTGGAAGTGGTATAGTTGGGTGCGGTAGGTATATTAACACTTGTGTGTTAGTATTTTGGCAGAATTTTGATGGGGCACGCATAGGTTTCTGCCATGCCTGGTCGGGGGATGGTGACCTTTCTCTCCAGACAGGTATCTGCCCGGAGAAAAGTGCCTCCCCTGGCCAAGGTTTGAAACCACCGACAACAGTGCTCTACACAACCGATGCCCTAGTCTGCTCAGCCACTCTGTCCCCCTTGTATAGAAATTAGGATAGTTATTAAGGGTTATGGAAGTTTTTATTGATCTAGAACAGGCATATCAAACATAAACAAGTATCCTGATCTAGGGATTGTAAATTTATATTTTGTATATTACTCGAGGCCGTGGGTTCACTCCCCTTCCCCCTTACAACAGGGATAATTGGAAAGTATATGAATGTATTTATTATTTATTTTTTTTTTATGTATGATAAACGGGTAATAACCCTTTTGTGTGAACAGTATCAGGTTATAATAAACTTCTCCCCATTTCCAATTCCTGTCTATGACAATGATATTACTCCACTATTTTAAATTGGGATAAAACAATTTTTTATAACACAAAATTTAAATTTTGCCATTCTTATTAAATGTAGCTAAAAAAACGTCATTTCATTTATGTGGCTTAGTATTGAATAACATCAATCATTATGATGATATACTATGTTTTAGCTTATTCAATCGGAACATTTTAACTTATGAATACTGTTTTAAATATCAAGGTTTTACTGTTAATATAATATAAGCTTTGTTTTTAAAAGTAATCAAATTTCAAATTTTTAATCTTTTTGTTTATTTTTAATTTGTCAACTAATTTATGCAGAAACAAATACACCAAATGCTTCACTTGTTATGAATGACACTGATAAGGTTTTTGGAAAGAATTTAACTTCAGTGACTCATGAACCTCCGGTTCAGCCGAGTTCTGGAAATATAAGTTATATAGGTAAAGTAGTGAATGGTTTAAAAAATTAATTTTACTTAATAAAAAATATATGTATTATTTTTTTAGGAACACCCACGCCTATATCTCTGCCAGTTGACTTAGAATTCCCCTCAGCAATTACCAATGAAACACTTAAAAATCATAATATAACCAAATCAAAAAATGTAAGTTGGATTTTAAGTTACTAATTTGGTATTAAATGTACATTTAGAATGGGATAAATGTCAGTAAATTAATGCAATGCTAGACTAGTATATTCCAAAAATGATTTTGAACAGAGCTCAGCTTACCAATTTAAAAGTAAAATAAAATATAATAGTATATCACCATTTTGGTGGTTGCTTTTCAATGTTTTTTGGAATTTCCTTCATAATTATAGGAATTAAATTTAAACAGGCAATTTGATTTAATCACTTGATTAAATTGTAGTATATTATGTTAAATTTTTTATGTAGATAGATGGTAAATAAATTATCTCCCTCCTCAAAAAATAAACATTCCAAAAGAAATTGATACTCCACTTTTCTAAACATAATCTTAAATATTCATTACGAGGTCACATCTAAATCTATTAATGTTATAACAGTTTTTAAGTTTAATTTATTTTTGCTTAGGTTCGCAAAATATGATAAAATGATAATGTGCTTATCTGAAGATAAATTAATAGTTGTTTTTTTAAATCGTATTTTACAATGTCAACATTTTTATCATAGGTATGATTGGTAACTGAACATTTTTTGAAGAATATGCATATTTTCAAATAAATTAATCATTTCTTTCATTTAAGAATACGTATACAGCTTCAGTTTTTATACTATTGATGCATTTTTAAAAAAAATATTTACATTTAGAATAAATATTACATACAAAGCATACTTTGTATTAAAGATTTTTTTACACAATTATTGAAAAAAGCCAAACTCCCCCCCCCCACAATTAATTACATATAAAATAAAACAAAATTTGTAAAACCAGAAAATTCAATATTTATTGAATGTTTAATTTTTAGAACTGTATGTCAATCATTATTTATGTGAAAATGAATAGCTATAGAAATATTAAACACAATTGATTGCTGATATTGGTAATGACCTCTACATTGTTTTAGAAGTAGATATTTTCTGTACATTAGATGTAAATTATCATATGATATCAAGCCATTAATTATTATTATTATTATTCCTTAAAATTATTATGTGTGTTAATTTATTTAAATAATATTTTACAAGTCATAGAATGTTAAGACAACCCATATAACTTAAATTACATTAACACAATTTTGTATTCTTTAAATTGACACAACATTTAACAATAATTACTTTCAAGGTAATATTCCGACTAAAGCAAATAATGTTTATTGTTTATTAGTTTTACAATGATCTATATATATGTATAAGAAAAATACTAATGGAAAAAAGAATAGAGAGCTCCAAAAATTCTATGAAATAAAACATTTATTTTTATTTATTTTTTGAATTTTATAAAACTTCAACTTTCTTTTTCTCAAGTTTGAATCTATAAATACAGTAAATCAAGCTCTGAAACATTTTTTATTTGTGATGATTTTTCATTGATTTAAATTTGTTAATGTTAATATTACACCACTGTTCTTAGACAAGACAAATAAAGGAACACTCTCAATACTCAGACTTGTACCAGGTTTTTACTTTAACACATGGCATTATGCATTATGACGTAATAACCAGTGTTAAATATTCAATTTCATTTATTTAAAACACTACATATTATTTTATCAAAAGAACATGCACTTTGACCACACATGCATAAATGATATTTAGTATGTAATATAATTGTCAATTTTTTCATTATGTTTATTAATGAGCTATAATAATTAAATACATTTTTAATATTCAACAATAACATTTATTTTATTGCTTGAAAATATTTTATTTTTAAATTTTATTTTGTTAGTATTTGAATGACATTTAACCACTAAAAACAGAAACTTGCAAGATGTTTTCAAGATGTTTTAAAGATATTTTCATACTCTTAGGGTGATATAATTTCCCCATTTTGACGGGTCTATCTTATAAATCTGTAACTTAGCTAATCTACGTATCAGAGTTTTACTACAGTTTGATTATTGCTGAAATTAAAGCAAATTTTCTTATAATCAAATTTGTAAAGGGGAACAGTTTTTTTTATCCATATTTTAGTTATATAACAAGATATGAATTTGAAAAGATGAATTATTTTAGTATTGAAGTAACTAATTTACTAAAAAAATACAAAAACTACTCTCAATTGAGCAAAGTTTATACTCTCCTCAAATTTGATAATATGTAAATTTGCTTTAATATTAACTATTATGGATACTAATACTAATAAGAATCTGATATTTAGATATGCTAGGTTACACAATTTAGTGGCGTCATGTGGATCGCGTATGTTATACATTCACAGGTCTAGATGTGGCTTTAAATACAATATTATTGTAAATTTTATCTGTTTCTTAAATTGCTTGGCCTAACAAATCAATAAATTCTTGACTAGGGGTTGTGGCTTGCATAAAAATATGCGTATTAAAAAAAATTATTGATATGACGCCACTATTACATGTGTGTTAGTAGACAGTCAATATATGGGGATACGACCTCCTCTGATTTAGTTTCCACCCTATTACCTTTCAAAAAAAATGTTGGCAGGATTCTCATATATACTACAATAGCACAACAATTAACAATGCCAAGGTATTTAATGACTATTGGGTTGATTTGGAGAACCATCCTGATGCGAACGTACATGATATGTTATCAGATTCTCATCGGAGAGCTGCAGTAAGTTAACAATATAATTTTTAATAAATATGTTGTATTTTTCTTAAATAAAATATATATTTTCAGACTATCAACTTGAAGTTTCAGTTCCCCTTCTATGGACATCTATTAAACTCTACTACAATTGCAACTGGAGGTTTTTTATATTTAGGAGAATACATTCATTCGTGGTTAGCAGCCACTCAATACATAGCACCTCTAATGGCCAATTTCGATTTAAGTTCATCAAATTATTCAAACATTTATTACATGGAAAATGGCACTGCATTAACTGTTACTTGGCATAATGCCACTTTGCAAGATAAACCTCAAGTTGGAGGATTCACTTTTCAAACAACTTTACATTCAAATGGAAATATTGTATTTGCTTACAAAAATATACCATCTAAAATCAAAGAAATTGATTCTACAAATCATCCAGTGAAAATTGGATTGTCTGATGCATATGTTTTAGATAAAACAATATTTTGTTAGTACAATTTAAAATTATTATTTTTAACTGCAACTCATAATAATTCTGATAATCAAAAATGAAATGTTCCAAATTTTAATAATTTTGAAATACTACACCAAGTGCCCGATTTGTAATTTCTGTAAAATATGTTTTTTTTAAACATTTATATTATTATTTTTTACATATAGTTGTGAGAAGAAAAACTATTTATGAATATCATAGAGTAACATTCCATGAGGATGAAGTAACAAATGGAACTGTTATAATTTTAACTGCATTGCCAACATGTCTCGAGAAGAAAAATTGTTCTAGTTGTATTAAAAAAGATACTAACTTTCAAGTAATATATATAAAATATGTCTAATTTTATCGTATGATTAATTATATCTGTAAATTGGAAAAGATGATTAAAATATTTGTTGTATTCTAGTGTTTCTGGTGTGACAACCGATGTTCTTCAGGAGTTGATCGCAATCGTCAAGACTGGCACCAGAAAGATTGTGAGAAATTGAAACTTGTTAATGAAGATATGTGCACATCTGGAGTGACAACTGTTACTCCTCCTACTGTTGACAATTCTAGTGTTGAATCATCTGTTAAATCTGAATCTCGTAATGGTCTATGATTATTAATATAATATATGTGCAAACAGTGGCGTATTAAGACTTCACCTAAGAGGGCCAATCTCAACTCAAAAAAAAATTTATTTATTTTCAAATATATCTAGTGGGAGGTGATTGCTCCAACGACCCCCCCCCCTCAAATACGCCACTGTGAACAAATTTTACTTAGCATTTACTTTAACTGTATAATTTTTTTTAGATACAAATTCTTCATCTTCTAGTACAAGTTTATTCTTCATTGCATTGTGTGTTTCATTAACTTTAATGTCATTAGTCTGGATATTTTACGCTTATTTAAATCCACATACACGGTCTGGACAAATGCTAATTAGAGTAAGTGTACCATTTAAATTCTACATTGCTTAATATATTTATTGAAGTTAAGTTAAGTCGTGGATTCTAATATTTTTTTAAATAAAGATAGGACTTTGATTAATATTGTAGCAGTTAGTTGGAAGTATTAGTTATAACTGAACAATGGGAATAGTGTTATTCAACAAATTTTAATACTTTATTAAAAACATTAAATTAGTGAAAAGTGACTACATTTTACTAAACTTGAATGTGTTGACTGTTTCATTATATAAGAAAAAACATATTATAACTTTTTGAATATAGTTTTGGGACTGGCTTTATCTACTGTTTATATTATAATTAAATATTGTTGTTTATTTAGTATCGACCAAATCAGTGGGGTTGGAGAAAAGGAGAAGCTCGCTATACAGCTGCTACCATTCATATGTAAAATGAAACAAGTAATGATATTATCCAAATAATTGACAACAGAAGGTGTGTTTAAAAATAACATAACTTATAAATTATTTTATCCATTTTTTTTTTTTGCATTTGCAGTGTTGGGAGTTGTTATTTGAAGTAATAATTATGAAATATTAAATTGATAACAAAAAAAAAAAACATCCACAACGGTAATTTTTGAAAATAACTAAGTTTTTAGTGAAAGCTTGATGATGTATGAACCATAAATATATATATATATATATTATTTTGCATAATGCAGCTAATGTTATTTTCTAACTTCTATTAACTAACCCATTGTTACTTAAAACTTTTATTTTTAAATTTTTATAAATGTTATTCAATTTATTATAAGTATGGGCCCTAAAATGGGATGATAGATTTTTGGATATAACGTAACCATTCTTTATTCTGTAGGAACTTTGTTGTCTTACATTTTATTTGTGATTGTAAAAAATTTGACAATTTTAAAAAAATAGTTACTTACATACCTCAATATTTTGAAAACTTTTTTTCAGTGCCTTAGTATATACTGTATTCTACATGAATAATTCAAATAGTATTCATAGAATATTTCTTACAAATTTTCTACGTATCTTATTTCTGATATACGCTTTTTTATAACAACTAAACATTTAAAAATTGTATACGCTATTATAGTACCTAGATTAAAAATAAACATTTTTTACATGCACTTACCTAAAAGTTTGTTTTTTGTAAAAGGACTCAATATTTATTTTTGTGTACAAAATAGAATTTGTTCAGTATACTACCAAAAATTATCCCAATGATTAAAGTTAATGAAGTATAATAAATAAATGCTGTACCATTCATTAATACTTCTTTACTCAATATAACTAATGCACTTAGTTATTGTTTTAAATCTAATTCATTAGCTTAATGTATGAAATAGCTATTATTCCTAAGACTTTGTTAAGGAAACTTAGTAATTTCACTACCTTGTGTGACATGGTTATATGTTACATGTTCTTATATTTTGATAAACCAATGTCACATAGGTTGCATGGTATACTTTCTTTACGTAAATAATTTATAAACGTTAATTAAATTTAAAGAAATATAAAAATGTTCATATTTTTTTATTTAAAATAATTACTATCTACTAATATAATTAGTTTGTAAATTGATCCAATAAAATAAATTGTGTTTTTTAAAATCACTTGATGCAACATGGTTTACCCAAGAATACTCAATTTTTACATTTTATACAAATACAATTATAATGAACTAAAGAGCCTCCTAATTGCTTTATTAGCCAACTTTTAACTCAGCTGTCATTTGTATCATTTTTAATAACAATAAAAAAAAATGTTGGTATTATTATTTACTAAAAAAATAATTTCTTAGTAGAGAGATGTAGCCTTTTGAACAACGCCCTAAATATTTTTTACGGATACATATTTTTATTGTTTTTTTTTTTTGTAATAGAAAATGATGTAATATTATTCCAATGACGTAATTAGGGGTGGGAAGCATAAGGTTTTATTCCCCTCGTGGCTGAGTTAATGTATAAATGTTAATATTATTATTTATAAAACAAACATTTAAATCTTTACTATTGTATTCAATCATCTCTTGTTGAAGAATCCTAATGACTTCGCTGGATTACGCACATTTTGTATTTTATTCGTATGTTCCAACTTTTTTTACAGGCCTGGCTCAAGAATTAAACACATTTAAGCAATCTTATGTTTTACCGCCTTTTACATGTAAATACTATGTCAAATATTTTTAAATGCCACCCTAGGTGCCTATGTTGCTAACCCCTTAAGCTGGGCCTGTTTTTAACTAAAAAAATATTGAAATAGTGATATTCATTTTATTATGTTTAAATTAAGTTTATCGTTTTTTTCTACTGTTGATACTATGAAATTACAAAATTTGTGACATTCTTCTTATGTTAAAATATTTTTATTGTTAAACATAGTAACAAAATAGGTATTATATTTACATACATGATCAGATTAGGTATCAAATTACCCTTTTATTTGTTTTTTTTGTTACTTGATCATCCAAATGAATTATATTTAAAACTTGAATTATTTTATGTAATGTTTCATTTGCTTAACTTTTAATTACATTTAGTTGACTATACTATTGTACTCTAATAATTGCTTATTTCTGTAATAATGAGCTTTATACATTTTATTGAGTTTTATATAAATAATTGTTAAAAAATAAATGTTCACTGGTATATTTTATAACCTAATTTTGGTATTTTTATTTTGTAGAATATAATCTTTTATTTGCAATATGATTATATGTAGGTCTAGTCTCACCAGTACATGATTGTGTGCTTTTACAGTTTAAAATTTGTTTAGCCTTTCAATAGTATTATTTTGATGCTCTGTTGCAACATCAGCTTTTTATTAGGGGTCAGTAGTAGAAATCTATGCAGTTTTCTAACATGAATTGAAATGCACTACTACTGTTCATCAGTTAGCTTAGTCAATGCCTGTAGTTATATTTTTTCAATTTTAATTAATTTTAACTTAAGGATATGTGTTTTTAACAATTAGGTATGGAAAATATCAAAAGGTGTTCATGAAGATGTCAGAAATAATTATTGAGTTGTGATCGGTTTTGTAGACCAACACTTTTCGATACTTTATTTTAATTTAAAAGCTTGCAGCTAACTATTTGTAGTTTTGGGTGTCTGAAAAGATGAAGGAAACTATCTATGTACAAATATGGTAACACAATATATGGCCACAGAATAAATACTATCTCGAAAACATGATGATAACCTAACCTGGTGATCATGACAGGTTTTGTATGAAATGGAAATTAATTTATTTGGTAAGCTACTGATAAATAGCTAAACCACAAAAACAAATACTGTGGTTTATTGGTTTCATAAATATTATAATAATTGTTGGATGTATAATATTAATTTTATAATCAAATAAAAATTCTAAAACCTAGTAAGGATACCTTCCCTACACTGTGCTGTACCATGTTGGAAAATTACTTTATGATATATTTATGTATGTAATTACATATAAAATGAGTTCTTAAGTTGCTATCACATTATTCAAATTACTATTTTTGAAGTTACGTTAATTTTAGTTTGATGCAATGAATGTTACCTTTTCGTCAGTCATTATGTGGAATCAATAGTAACACTATACACTATCCAATACTGAATTAAAATAATTTGTGGTAAATTTTATATTAGGTACAGTCACATATTTACAAAACCCACAAACATTTTATCATACATAATTATTAATTAGAAAATAACCAAAAGAGATCAATTAGGTATGTTTATTGTGGATAGAACTAAATATTTAATGATGACAAGGACCTAACCTAACCACAAAGAGCACTCAAAAGTCAGACCGCATAACAATAGTTGGTAGATAATTAAAGATTTTAATTGATAGATTTAGAAAAATGGATGTATTTAGGTTACTAGGCACTATCATAAACAGCAGCAACGAGATGCACAAGGACTGAGGAAGGAGATTAAAGAACGAATAGCATGTGGTAACCGGTGTTACTACAGCATTATAAAACTTCTAAAGACTAGAATCAAAACTACTGTCACGCAATTTGAAGACACACACTCCAGTTATTTGTGACCAGTAGTTACATAAGCAAGTGAAACATGGTCACTGACCAAAAGGAATAGTAGGGTAGTCAACTAATTGCCCTCGAAAAAAAAATACTACAAAATATGTGCATACCAAGCTATAACACAAAGTTGCAGACAAAAATCAGTAATGAGTAGGCCTCTGATCTGCAAAAGTGTTCCAACTTAGCCAAATATTCTATTGTTTATATAAAGCAAACATCTAGAATGGTTATGCCACGTTGGGAGAAATGCTGGTCAATTAATAAAAGAAGTATTAACTGACTTTTAAAGTGGTACTGACAGAGTGAGAGAGAAATAGATGATAGAAATGGACTGATAAGATGAGAAAGAAGAAAAAGATTTAAATAATAAATAATATCATTTAATGATAATGACAAATTAACATTAGCATACAGTTTAAAATCCTGATCATATCTGTATTTGAATAAATAAGAATAACCAATGCATACAGTTACTACTGTCTACTTAATAAAATAACTTATGAAGATCTTTCTAAATAAAAAAATTGTTAAAAAAATAAAATGTTTACAGTATTTTTTTGCTATACAGAGTAGATATAAAAATATAACATTAATAATTTAATATGTACACAATAATAACAGTGCCAATTATAAATTTTTATTTTTGACCGTGTACAACAGACAAAAAATCATCAACATTTACATTTTTCAGCAACCGTTGGTGTTCAACTTTGGATACCTTAGCTGGAGTCTAAAACAATAAATAAAAACATTTAATACTACACAATACATTATAAATATTCTGATTTCGTGACGTATGACGAATAAAATATTAATTAAATGTTAAAGTTTAACAAAATTCCTATTTCTTCTCTACTCTCTAGTTATAAAAATGGTATGATGAATTATAGTTATTTAATTAGATATATTGTTAATATATAATTCTTAAGAGGATGCTACCTATGAGTTTGTTGTCTCCATTTTACAAACATACAACATACCAAATTCTCATTTCTAGTTTCAATAGTGTGCTGTTAGTTTTGATATGTGAATTGTGATATGTGAATAAGTGAATTAACTTATTATTAAAATTTTAGATGAGGTTATGGAAAACAAAAAAAAAAATTCAGGAAAATGTGAATTTTTATGCTACATCAATTTTTAACAAAATCGATTAAATTTTTTTGGTGTAACTCAAAAGCTAATAAAGTAATAACCATACAACTGTACAATTTTTACTAAATGTTTACACTAGCATTTTTCATACATGGTAAAATGTTAATTCTTTTTGAGCTATTAAGAAAGTTTTGAGCCTTAAGAGATTATTTTAAATTATTGTGGATAAAAACTTTCACTTACTAAAAAACTTGAGAAATGAATGCAAGGGTTGTTTGGAAAATTATTTTTATATTTAAAGTACTTCGTAATATCTTAACCTTTAAGAGTATTTTTTTTTGTTTCAGCACAATCAGTTAATTTAAATGGTTTGTTAGTGTGGGGTTGTACTTACTCTAGCAGTCTAGCCACACTTATGTTGAAATATTACTATAAATTCTTCAATAAAAATTATTTTAAATAAACCTAAATTTTATTTAAAAAATTGAATATATACTGTTTTCATATTCAAACCCTTAATTTATTATATGAATGTTAAACTTTATTATATATATTTAATATTGAAACTATTATTAATGATTATCAACCACCGCCACTCATAATACAAGATTAAAAAATGATACAAACTCAAGTTCTTTTTAATAACAACAATTTTGGTAATCAAAGCCTTAAAGTAAAGGTGGTAAAGATACTATTATATATAAATACAACGTAAATATTTTTCTTTCAAAAATTTTAATTAGTATTAAAATTATGTATTTAGTGTTCTAACTTAAATTAATTGTTGTGTATAATGGCAATACCTATATAGATCTTTATTTCTTATAGTAATATTATTGTAATATTATGAAAATTTTTACTTTTTTATTTTATTTTATTTTAATATTTGCTCTTTTAATTGTATATTTATACTTATATTTATTGAAGATGTTTTAATATTATCACTATGGTTTATATTTACATTTTAGAAATAATTACATTAAGATGTTATGTGTTAAAAATAATAACCCAATCATAATTTATTAAACTGCTTCATTATTATAAACATATTGTTCATATATTAAAAAAATATATTTTTAGTTTTAGAAAATATTCATATGCCAATGCAATAATAATATGGAAGAAAGTCTTTAGAAACTCATACACACATTTACCTTATTATAAACTGTTCGATCTGCGGGCCTTTTAGTAGCCTTTTTAACAATATCTTCTGATCTATTTAACTTCTGTAGTTCATTTTGTGATCTGAAACATTATAAGCAATAGAGTAAATATTAGTAAATTTAAGTTTCAATTAATTGGCGTATAATAAATTAATAAATAAAAGCGTACTAGAAATTGGAAATAATATATTATAAAGTTTGGTAAATTATTTACAGATATCAGATTCTTTGTGCAGTATTGAGTAAAAAAATGAAAATATTTCAAAGTTATACTTCAAGCTTATATATTTTTTTAATGTCAAGTAATTAGTATATAAATGGTACATAATAAAATATTTTGTAGGATCAAAAATAACTAATAATTTAGAATACGATATATTACATTCTTTGTGGGATTGAAAATCTATCATTTTCTTCTGGCCAATTTCTTCCTTTACTATTATCATGATAGGACCGCCTTTTTTCCTCTTTGTACTTAGATCTATGTTTATCTTTTACTGAATCTTCCCTGAACTCTCTTTTTACATTATGATGATGACTTCTTTGAGAATAGTAACGACTATCAAATTTTGATCGTTCATCATGGCATCTAAATTTGCTTTGCCTATTAACATAATTTACATTTAATTATAAGCAATTTTAAAAAAAATAGCACCAGTGGTTAACAAATAGTGCTTAATAGCCTCAGGGTTCCACTTATTTGGGGATTCCATTTCCATGGACATATAAAAATGTAATATTATTTGCATAGTAATATGATCATTATCATTTATTTTTGTTAAAAACTGATAATCCTGGTTTTTGGTGTTGCTTAATTTTTGTTTAGAAACTTAAGGGCTAAGTAAACAAAAAAATTTGAGAACCACTGACATAGATGATTACTCAATTTATACAATGAGTTATTGACTTTCTGTGTATGAAATTACAAATATGTATATTGTATTAGAAGGTCTTTAATTACCTGTGTTTTTTATCATATATTTTATTTTGCCAATGTCTGTTCTCTCTGTGTTTGATTGGGTAATTATGAACAGAGTCATCCCAAAAAGAAGGGCTTCTTCTGGCTCTATCATCTTTTTCATTTTTTGTTTCAACATCGTCTATAGGAGTGCTAGTCACTGGCATTAGTATTTTAGCATCATTCTCAAGTTTACAACTTTCTATTTTTGGAGTAACCTTTAATATTTTGTTTGTTGTTATTGATGGTGATATAATTGGATTTAATGTCTGTACATTTTTTAATTCTGAGGGTATATCAAGAAAAGTGAATGCTTCTGATACATTTAAATACACCATCTGAAAAATATGAAATAAAAGTTATGATAGTAATTAATCATAATTCAATAGTTAAAACCTAAGAAATTGTGTGATTTACTTTGAATTATCCCTGAGGCGACAAACCTTTTTATTAAATCAATATCAAATATTGAGTGTTTAAAGAATTTATTTCATTAAATGTTATTATGGAAGATTGAACAATGAAATACAAATATTTTTGTGGGCTGTCAAAATTTGGCCACCAATAAACCATAGGAACACCCATGTTTTACACAGTATGGCAAAATTATGCATTTAAATTTATTCAACTATAGCTAGTTTTCATTAAAAAATGGAAGACACATTTTAACACAACAAAAAATATGCATGTATGGCTTTTTTCATATAAATAATTCAGAATTACTGAATGAGATGTATTTACATATTTTGTAACTTATAGCTAGAAGATAAAAGATAAATCTGGAGGAAAACAAAATTATAAACAAACATTAATACTATTAATTAACATACCTCGTGTTCATTATCTTCAGTAATGACTTCATATACTTTTGGATTTTTTAAATATTCCATATTGTTTGGTGAATCACAGGCCTCATTTATAGGAACATCTAATTTATCATCATGTGTAACAGTAACACAAGAAGTATTGATAACACTGCTGTTGATGATAGACGATTCAGATCTGTCAAGACTGATGTTCATTTTATCTTCAGAAATACAATTTGGATTAGAAATGTTACCGTCAATAGACATAGTTTGTACAGACTCCAGTGGTACAATGGATTTATTATCAACTGTATTATTTTCCTTTCCATTAGACACTTTATTTACACCTATAACACAATTCTCAGATAATTTAATTTTTTTATTGTTCATTTCATTAGTTTTTGTTTCATTACTAATATAACTTGTTGATATATTCTTATTGGATTCGTCTACATTATACATTTCTGAATAATTAATATTGGAATCACTACTATTAAGTTTAGAAATCTTAACCGCTGGTTCTATTCTTTTGATTTTATTCTCTTTTGGACTACAGTCATAAGCTGTCGATGAAGTGTTATTCAAATACCTTTCTAACCCTATCAATTGTTCTGAGTTGTCATTTGCAGTGGTTTTGTTTTGTATTCTACCAACTTTTTGGTTGTTGGGTTTATCCAATGTTGGACTTTTAGATAATTTAAAGAATTTTTCAACTGGATCATCAAAATGTACCATGGACTTTTTAATTTTTTTTGAAATTGTTTTCTTTACTTTTCCTGAGGCGTTGTTCTCACATTGCACTATTATTGGTTTAATAAACGGAGTTTTAGTTGATTGCATGTTTAATTCGTCTGATAATTGACTTTCAATACCATTAACAGTTACAACAGACATGGATTCAATTGATTTCTTTTTAGGTATGGGTTTAAAACCAGATTTTTTCTCCTTTTCTTGTGGTTTTTTATTAATAACTATTGTTTTACGCTGTTCATTTGTCGTTGAAAATTCATTTTTATTTGGACTCAGTGAAATATCACTTCCAAAAAGCTCAACTTTAACAGACTCATACACTTGTTTCTTTTTTGCTTCAACATTTTTTAATTTTAATCCATTTTTTACTTTGGGTTTAGTCGAAAGTTTTAATTTAGATTTTAAAGGTGTATTTTTAATTTTATCTTTCTTTGTTTTGGTTGATAATTCACCAGTAGAAGTTGTAGTCTGGAAGGGTTGTGATAAACATTCATTCAAACTATTCATTTTACAATTTGTACCGCTTGAGGTTTTAACATAATCCAGTTCTGGTGGTGCAATCAAAGTATCGACAGACATTGAATTCCCTGGTGTAGGAGGAAATGGTGAAATTGGGGGTCTATTTAAATATGATGTTTCTCTGAATACTTTGGTTAGTGGTGTTTCGGTCAATGAATCATCATGTTCTGGTGTACATGGCAAAGGTGTGACCATCTTACTTGGATCATATTCTCGTATTATTTTTGAAATAGGAGTTTCAGGAACATCAACAGCAGCATCATCACATTTAAATGGGGTTTCAAGTAGACTGGGCTTAACTGATTCAATGTTAATACATTTTAATGGACTATTTAATTCATTTGAATTGTTTGTATGAGTTTGATCAAATAAACCCTGTTCTTTTGAAGGTTTAGTTGATTCATATAACTTATTTTCTGTTAATGAATAGTTATGGTTATTAAATGTTTTTAAAAAGTTAGAATCTTTTTCCTGATTTGTTATTTTTGACCTAGTATTTAAAATAGAAGAGTTAATTAATTCATTTTGATTATTTTTTGGTTCATTAACTTGAGACTGATCCAGATTAATTTGAGTTGCACATTTGCTTTCTGGAAAATCAGATTTCATGGGCAGTAATTCATTATTAAGCTTGGTTATTTTATCTAAAGTTTCTAAGGAAACCGAAAATTCACTTAGTTCATTAAGTGGTTTTGTACCATTGATGTTTTTCAAAGAATCAGTTATAGTTGGTGGCTGCTTATTATATAATTCTGTTATTTTATCTGGAGTTTCTAATGATATAGAAGGTTCACTAACTTTTTTCAACGATTTTAGATTGTTCAAGGTGTTCAAAGAATTCGATTTAATTGGAGATTGTTCATTACATAATTCTGTAATATTATTTGATGTTTCTAATGAAATATGACATTTTGGCTGTTTCTCTATTAATGGCTTTTGGATACCCAGTAATGGCTTATCAGAGTCTTGCCCATTTAAACCATCAAATGCAACTTCCGAAATATTTGATACATCAGTATGTAATTCATTTGTCGCGATTGAAATATTACTTGATTTCTTTTGATCTTTGAGCAAAACAGAATTATTTTGAACATTGACTGGTTTAATTTTTTTTCTTGGCGTTTTCTTTTTTCTTGTTTTTCTTCCATCAGCATCTGACGTTAGAATTCCAGCCCCCACCATTTCTCGAATATCTGTATCCCAGTGTTTAACCATTTCTTTTTTAATCATTGATTCAAATCCATTAACTGAACCCCAATCAGCTTGAAGTTTTGGTAAAGGACTAGTTGAAGGTTCTTCCAAACATTTTTCAAGTCTTTTTGGTGAATCACAGAAAAGTTTTGAGCGAGCTTGATTTCGAGTCATGTTCTTAGGCTGTGGAGTACTAAAATCTAAACATCTTATATGAGTGCTTCTTCTACGAGGTGTACTCATACTTTTGTTTTTTGGAGGTTTAAGTCTATCATCTGGTGTATCATGAACAATCAGATTATTAACTTTAGATGAAACCTCAGGTAATCTGATAATATCATTAATCTCAGTATGATTTTTTTCTTGATTTTCAAATGAATTTTGATTAGGAACTTCAATAATAATTGATTTAGGGGTTGGTTGTCTAGTTATATTTGTTCTCCTAAATTTGCTTCTTATGCCATTAACTTCTAGTAAGTGTCTTCTTCGTTTTGGAAATATATGTTTTTCAGGAGCTGAAAGCAAAATTTAAAAAAAAAATTTAATTACTAGTAGGTATAATAATATATAATATTATGTTGTTGTTCTAAATAAGTATTAAGTTTGTATGAATCACAAAATAATTACTTCTGAAAACATATTAGATATATTAGATATTATGATAATAATTTTTCATTTCATCTTCCATATTGATTTTAAAAATTAAATTGTAAGCTTTAGGTTTCTTTTGTTTCTTTTTCATTGTTCAAGTTGAATCCTATGTAATGGTTCAGATACAAAGAGGTAGGTACCCAAAAATATAAATTAAGTGAACTGCGCACAAACCAATCAAAATGTCAAAAATGTTATCAATATATGGCTGATAAATTTGCAATTTTATTGAAAGGTATATTATATATACATTCAATAAATGTATAACTTATGTAAGTTATAAGTAGGTACCCTATATTTTAACAAAATATTATATTATAGCAAAATTATGACACTCGAGTGGACTATTTGACCGAGGCCAACCATACCCCCATGTGTTGTCTCCGCGTTTCAAATGTATAACATAGGAAAAACTATTTTGTGCGAGATAGAACCATTCAGGCTGTGGTCCAAGCTAAGCAGCCAAATTGTCACATTTTAAAGAAGGGAACATTTACTATACAACATCGTTTTTAATTTGTTCTACATAGCAATACAGAAAAAGTTATTCAAGTTCGAAAAAAAAATTAATTTTTAAACAAAAAGAACTTTTTAGTAATTGTTAAATCGAAAAATAAAAATGATGTTGCATAGAAAATATTCTCCTCTTTCTAGTGTCAAAATTTGTTTGCTTAGCTTGGATTACAGCCTGAGTGGTTGTATCCCGTGTACAACTATTTTTGCTATGTATACATTTGTAAGACAATACATGCGAGAATGGTGTAGTCTTTATTGTTTTGGGTTAAGTGCTTGCAACTACCAGATAGTACGTCTCCATCAAAACATTTTTATCTAAATTATTATTTTTAGGTTTTATACTTTATTTCAGTCATTACTCTTATTTTTAATGGTAGATGTTACCAATACAGTAATACTTTGTAAAAAAAACAAATACGATTATTCACAAAATTATCATTACCTGGAATTTTACAAGAACTATTATGATTTGCTAAAGCTCCAAATAATTTAAAAAACAATAACACAGTTGTTCAAATTTTTCTTTATAAAAATTGGTAGCAATTATTTTTAATATGAATTGTTATGTATCTTGACCAATTTTGGTCAAAAATTAAAGTGTAAATATATATAAATATAATATACAAATAGGGGGATGTGGTGACCGAGTGGTCTGACGCGTCCGCTGCGACGCAGCCGGTTGCGGTTCGATCCTCGGCTACTGGGTGGCATTTTTCTCCGGACAAGTAGCGGTGACCGGAGAACAAGTGCTGCCATCCCCCACCCCCAGGGCATGGCAGAAACCTACGGGTGCCCCATTCGAAATTCTGCCAAAACAAACACACACGTGTTCCCCCCTACCGTCCCAAAATATACAATACAAATCCTACTACAGCTAATGGCCTCAGTTGCCGAAGCTTAAGATCAATAAAAAAAAAAAATATACAAATAATTCTAATGATAGACTAACATTTACACATAAAAAATGAATAAGTTGATTAACAATAAATAAACTGTTCATACCTTGATGAGTTAATAACATGGGAGTTATTTTTGGAGCAATTTTCACATAGTCAGATTTGGCAAAATGATCTTCTCCTAAACAAAAAAATACAATGCATCAACAAAAATATATATTAATTTAACATAAAATAAAGATGGTATTTTGAAGGTATATTCTAGGCCTAATCTTTCATTCCTTTTTCGATATTTTTTTGCTATAAGAACTCAAGGACCTTAAAGAAAAGAAGAACTTAGGAACCTTGTTTTCATTTTTCAAGCCTATAAAAATAAGAATTTTCAAATATCTATAAAAAAAAAGCTCAAAAAGAGGTAAAATATTTGAAAATTATATCCTGTTAAAAAATGCTAACATGAATATTTGCTGAAAATATCAAGTGCCTACAATAAAATAACAAAATTAGACTGGTATTATGTAAATATTCCAATTTATTCATTATTTTGATAAGCATAAGGACTAGGAATTTTTTACTCTTAATCCAAAGTACTAACTAGATCCACTATGCAAAGATTGAAGCATTTTACAACTCTAAAAGGTGACGATAGCCAAAAAAAAAATAATATAAAAACAGAATTGTAAAATCAGAAAACGAAAGTGATTTACGTGCTGGGTAGTTATTAAAAGTGTTCTGAACATTCACTAAAAAAATTAACTAGTTCAATTTGTTTTTTTTTCAAAAGTATGGGTTTGTGTAATTCGTTTAATAGAAATTATGAGAAAATATTATTATACAATATAATTAATAAATATAAATGTTAAACGTATATTTATTAAATGGCAAATAAATTGAGCGTCTTAAAAATCGTTCAAATTTGCTAAAATACACAAATGTTCAAATTCACATTCAATTTAATAAAAAAGGGGTGACATTTGCGTATGGTTCACTAAATATGAACGTGAATGAGCCTTTATGAATGAAGTTCCTCCAAAAACAGGTTATTAGCCATAATATGTTTGGTCCCAGGCATATTTAGATTATCATAGACTCAGGTATTTTTTTATCATTATTATTTATAAATTTCTTCAAAAGTTCATTATTTCACTAACAATTAATACAATTTATATTTTATTTTTAATGAACAATTTATTTATTTATAATTTTCAAACTTAATATTATTTTTATATATCGTCCAGGATTTATATAAAATAATGATGATGGCATTTAATACTATTTAAAAAACATAAATCAGCAATAAAAATATAATATTTTTATTTATTCAAATCTTGACTATTTTTAATTATATTGTATGGTTATATATTTGTATTTGTAGTATTATCATTTAAATATTGTTCATTAAAAATAAATTGTATTTATCATTAGTGAAATAATAAACTTTGGAAGAGATAAATAAATACTAATGATTTAAAAAACCGGAGTATCCTATAATAATCAAAATATGCCAGGGACCAAACATTCTATAGTTAATAAATCCTCGGGATGAAACATCTTATTTAAATAATTGCCTGGGAAAGAATGTCCGTAAGCTAATTGAAGGGGGACAAAACATCTGTGATTCTGTAAAATCAATACATTCATTGCTCAGAATCTTAAAATTAATTATTGTCATTCAATTTCATAAAGCATACCTGGTTCTGTTTTAGTTGAGTCAAAATTATACGAGTCACTTGATTGTAAAACTAATTGATTTGATAGCAAATCGTAATTCTCAAAAACCGTTGTACTGATATTACCTTCATGTATCAATACAATATTATTGTCAACTTTCAAACACTCTTCATTACCATAAACAATATGTTTTGTAATATTTGAATTATTCTTTTTTAATTTGCTTGGTGCGTCATCTGTAGAAACCATAAAAATTAGTAACTTTGTATTATTATTGGAGATCAACCGTACTACCTTTTTTCCTGGCACTACGTAAACGAGATTTGATTGTGTCTGATTGATCATTAGAACATGATTTTTTATCAATATCAGCATTGTCAACATTAAAAACTGAAATTTTTAAAAAACTTATTTGTATTAAATATTAATGATACATTCTAAATAAAAGAAGTTTCAAACTAAAAATAAACTAAAATAGCACATTAGTGCTATAAATTTTAACAAAATTATTTAACAATAATATACACAGTTAAATGAACTAAAACTTTTACTTCTAGTCTCACATACATATTAGTTCTACCACCCATCCAAAAATGTTTTCTTACTCCACTCAAACTCCAACAAATATTTTGCAAACCTGAACCTCATAACTAATACAACAGGGTTATTTAAATAGCTCTTAGGTTTTTCTTTTAATAGCAAGCTAAAAAGTATTTATTAAATTGTATTACTTATAATCATAGGCGTGAGCAGACCTTAATGACAGGGAGGACCAAACATTATGTTTTGTCAACATTATCAGTGCTTGCGGAAATATTTTTTAGGAATGAGGGGAGTGGGGACCAAATAGGTTTACATCAATAACATCTATAATATTAGGCTAATATTATTAGATTAATTATTTTAGTATGCAATAAAATTAGCCTAAGGCACAAATGCAGTTTAGCTCCTAGGCAATTTTTCAAAAACTTTTTCGGAAACCTATTTTTTATCAAGCTTATAAAATATATCAGTCACAAACGTATGAACACAATTGCCTAAATAATGACTACAAAAATAAATTTTGTAGTTTTTGTAAATTGTAGAGTTTATTTGGAAAAGATTTCAAATCACGTGAGCAAGCCTATGCCTATAAGTCGCAATGTAGAGAAGATATCTTCTTTACATGGTGCAAGTAGTCCTTTTAAATTAAAATATAGGAATGATAATTTGATAGTATTTTATATTAATATAATTTAAATTTAAATATCGTTCGTAATTGGTTAGTTGATTTGATCTTTGATCTGTGGCATATCCAGGGATGGTAGTGGAGAGTTGTAAACCCCCTGAAAATTATTAAATAAAATAACTAAATTTTCATTAATAAAATATTAAAATCATTTTTGGATAAAATTTGTCAATAATTACCCTAACACTATCCCTCGCCCACCAAAAAGAAAAGGAAAAACTTACCTAAAAACTCATCCAGTATGTTTTTAATTTGTGGATCAGACTGAGTGGAGTCTAATGCTTTTTCAAGAGTAGGAGGATCTAAGACTTTACTTTCTAGTATATCGTCTTTTTCTTTTTGAGCGTCAAAAGATTTATTTATGGAATCAGCAATTTTTTCCAATAAACTTTGGTCATTCAAAAATGTATCAACTAATTCACCAGTATCAATAACAACTGAACTATCCTTTATCTTATCTTCTTTTGAAAATCCCGGCATAGAGTCAAGGGATGTTGCTTCTGGTATTTGCTGGTATTCAGCCTGGTCACTATAAAAATATGGTTTAAGACATTTACATTTACAAAATTATGCATACAACAAATAGTTTATAAGTTAAATAGTTTAATAGAAAAATTATGTTCGGATAGGTACATTTCATCACTCAGTATATATTGCTATGGACTGGCGTCCAGCGTTAGACCTTGGTAGAGATAATGACAGGGTAATGCTATAGACTTAAGTCCTGCCCCAAAGGGGTGACAATAGGCGTATAAACCAGGTACAGGTTATACACAATATATGAGGGATGCGACACGATCAGCAATTTTCGATTAATATATTGTAAACGAGTTTGTTGATTCTGAGAAATACTGTAATGATATTTAGTCATGCTTATGATTAATCATTCGTTGGTGCATAGTCATCTCGAATACCACATAATAGATATTCAACTATACACATAGCGAAGCCCAGGATGCGCACTCAGGAAAGTCATAGTGGGTTGTGGGCCGTTAGTATTTCCCAGTACAATAGTTGGCGGACACAGCTTCTGTGGGAACGATACTCGTATCAAAAGGGCTAGGAGAAGTAGAGGGTACGCCAATATAGGAGACCCCTGAACAGCCCATATTCAGATGTGATTTGACCAGATGAGCCAGAGCACCTTCATGCTAGTCAATCTTTTGATAGTATTATTTTGGGCTTAGAATAATTTTGAACAGTTTATTATTTGGACTTAGAAAAATATTTGATTCAACTCGATATTTTTCTGAACACTCAGAATAATTCTTTGTGACAAATATTCTAGCACAGATTATTCAATCCACAGTTTTAAATTACATTTGTATTCTTTTATTAAATAATAATAAATACTACCTCAAACCTCAAGCGTTGCATATTAATCAAATACATCTCATCCTATTCCTCTCAACAACACCTGTAGTCGCCAGACCACTACAATATTTAGTTCTACTATTTTTCTAAACATAAAACTGATATACAGGAATCTCAGACAAAAAGTCTGTTTTGAAAAAATGTTGACAAAAAGTCTGGTCTCATCTTTTTATTGACAGACAAAAGTCGAAAATAACAAATATTCTATTACATAATGTAATTGATTTTATTTTGTAGACTAAAAAAACAAGTGGAATTTTTGTCCAACTTTTTTTGACTGATTACCAATATCAGGCAATATAAAGCTGTAGCAAATTTATATCAATTTTAAATATAAGGCAAAAATATACTATCGCCTAATAGTAAAATAATGAATAGTATAGATACATACCCAGAATTTATATTATGAATATTTTTTGGACTAAATTGTGGTATTGACTCAATATTTATTTTAGTTGATTCATTTTTCTTTGCTGGAGTACTACAGCTTTGATTGTTTATTTGAAATGTTTTTGTTTCTTTGTCTTCAAATTTGGAAAATGTCATTGAACCTGCATTATTTTCTGTTAGTTGTGTCATTGAAGATAAACAAGGCGAAGAAACTGAATTTTTCTGGTCAGTTATTGTGGTTTCATCATTAAATGTGTCAGTTTCTTTTGTTTTAAAAACGTTATCAGAAATTATCTCAGTGAACGATGGGATTTCTAATAGTTCTTCTGATGTACTTTTATTTACTTCTATATTTAATGTTGTATGTGTACTTTGATCTCTAGTATTGATTGTATTACCAACACATTTGTCAACCATATTTAATTTTTTCTCAACAAATGTATCTTTTTTCATTGATGCCTGGTTTGTATCTAACAAATACTGTAGTTTCTCAATTAATGTTTTAGATTCACATGCTTCAGGTATTCGCTCTTCAACTAAAATCAATACATTAAGAAAATGTATTTAAAATATTTCTAGAATTTATAACTTATATAAATTATACATCTTTATTTTAATGATAAATAACAAATAATTAGTATAACTTACTCATAGCACACATGGTTCCAAAATTGTCAAATATGTCATGTAAATTAAGCCCATTCACTTTAATATTAAAGTTTCTATTAGCTTTAAACATCTGAAAACATTCAGTCAAATGAGGAGATGATTTTAAAAAGCATTTCGCAGCATCCTCATTTTTTTCTTTCTTCAGATAACCTAATGGATATATGATTTATTAATATAAAAATCTTCAGTACCCATACATACTAATATCAAGATTTTTTAAATTTTTAGATACACAAAAACTTTAAAAATATAAAGTAATTAAAATCATCAATACGGTATAGTATGACCAGAAGAACATCATACGTAATAAAGAATGGATAGACCATTTAGTGAGTAGCTAAAATATTCAAGTAGACATTTTGATGCCATGAGTTTAATTTACGACAGATTCAAAACAGTAGTTTTTTGTACATTGCAGCATCAACATATACAACTTCCAGGCGCAAATCCGTGAATATTGATGGTCATGTGAATTTTATAAAAACTTAGATAGAAAAAGTAGAGATTCAAAAACCTAAATACTCACCGTACACTAAACGAGCAACTTCAGATGGCATCAAAGGTTCCATTTTTTGTTAGGTGTACGGGGGCGTGTGGTGAGTGCCAAGTCGTGATTGTCAAGTCGCAAGTGCAACGGAAGAGGACCGTGAGCGGATCGTTTCAGAAAAACATAAATTTGTGTGGCGATAACCAGTGAGGGCTAGTGAAACGCATTGTAAATATTCAATTATCGGATTAAGAACAACAATAAATTAATTAATTAAACGAACACAACCATTAGACTATTGACTATACGAGAAAAAGCGGTTCGTGACTTCATGTGATAACGAATAACGATGTTAATATTTACACAATAATATCATTTGTAAAACTCCAAGAAAGAGCGGGAAAAGCGGCAGTGTGACCATCAAGTCGTCGAATGTGACTAGTGTTGAGAGCTCAGTTAAGTAAAAATATTCAAATACCTATTTAATAAACCTTATTTTAGATTCTGAGCGATTCGATGGATGCAATGATTTTACAATGATGTGTATTCAGGAAGGTAACATTCAAAATTCACTGTAGTTTTCAAATGTACCCTGAAAAACAAAAAAAACATAAGATGAAATGAGAATTTTTACAAAAAATCTATTTTTATTTTTGATGGAACTCTTAAAAAATTAAAAAATTACCGGATAGGTAATAGGTATACATAAAAGTTTTACTGAATGATTATTTTAGCATTTCCACACCAGAAAATTTTCAAAATATTTTGACTCATGTCGACTCATTTATAGGCATATAAAATATTACGATTTGTATTAGTTTTTTTAAATAGTAGCTCTCCGAGCGTCGATGGGGGAGACCCCCAGACCCCCCGAGTGGGCTGAAAGGGGCGCATGTAAATTCCGCCCAAAATGAACTACAGGTAAAATAAGGTACATGTAAATTCCGCCCGAAAAAATGTATTACTGTTAATAAACAAATTTCTGAATGTGTCTTATTAATCATATTATTACTGACATAACATAGATTAAACATTATAATTTAGAAGTAGGTATTTAAATAAATATATATTTCACATATTAAGTCAATAATTACAACATAAATCATGTATAATCGTAAGAATAGTAATAATTATAAAAGTAAAAATAAAATCATCATTAATAATTAGAAAGTGGATTTCGGTCCACGGAGACGTTGCAATTATAAAAGTCGCGTCCGTATAGGTGGGTTGAACCTCAAAAGTCAGAGAAAGTGATGAGGGGCTTTGGAGGTGTCGTTTCGAAGGCGGGAACGTTTGAAAATCTAGAAATTTGTGATTGAACGGGGTTGATAGTCGATACTGTCCAGTCTTGTGCTCTTACGAATGTCGAAACCTTAAGTGTGTTTATGAAAGCCGTATTTAAGTGTCTAACAAGTCAGTCATGTCCAGTGAAAATCGATTGACGTTCAACTTAGTCATCTAGGCAGGCAATCTGGGCCAGCGTTTAAGGTGTGTGGACACGGTGGTGGGCAGCTGTAAATGATAATTTCCAAAAGCTTATAAAAAGACATAATACATTAGCCCGTGTGGTCACTCGCTCGCTGCACTGTTATGGACAATTAAAGTTCAAAACAACAATCAATTCACAATGTAAAACCTTCTTGGATGGATCTTGACTTAACGATACTGGTTAATTCTGATTTCACAATTGTCTGGATAATGGATTACAACTTAACTATTGTACGCCAAGCAATAAATTAGTGTCAATGTTAGTATAACTTATTAAATGAGAATGAAAATAAAAAATTTGTTAAAAAAAATAGATTTCTATTTATTAATTCAATATTTAATTGTGTTTTGTATTTCAGACTTCAGTTATATTTTGTTAAAAAATGTTATTACTACAGGTATACAGTAATATATACAAATACATAAGTCATAAAGACAATTATACAATACATATATTATTAGGTAGGTATTGTTTTCTTTATGTTTATTTATGGTAAGTGAACCACTTAGCAGAGCATATACATTAAACAACATAAGAGCAGTTGAATTATGAATGTACATTATACAATTCAGTATTATCCTAAATTTATAATCTACATCAGTCAGCCTAAAATATATATTATACATTAATTATTATTTATTATATACTCTGTTGGAGTGAATGCAGTTAAAGTTAGTATAAAAAGTAATGAAAATCAAAACATATACTGGTCGGAATGTCAGTTATCAATTTATTAATTTGATTTAACAATCATAATTAAATCAATTTATACATGACATTAGTATGTGTTTTACGGAAACAGTATTTAGAATTGTTAAAACGCTGAGTTCAACTACAGATGTACGTGTACCCTCAGTATAACTCAATGTAGATGTGCAGCTTATGTAAAAAGAATGGCTTTAAGCCTATAAATAATCATATTGTGTTTTATTTATTATATATAATTTTTTCATTATTTTATGATAAATTGCCTTTTTTATACATAGACCTTATACCTAACCTTGTAGTTTTAGATATACCCATAGCATAAAACAATAGTAATATTAAATAATAAATATAATATAATATAATATAGTAATATAATATAATAAATATAATATAATATAATATAGTAATATTACTCTATGGATATAGGTACCCAAGATATTATATTTAAGATTATATATTAAATGTAGTACCTCCACTGGGAGGCTCCTACGCTCCGTTATATACTTATATCTAGATTGTTATTTTATTTTTATTTTTCTTCTACTTTCCAATTTCATCAATTGTTCTTATTGTTCTTTTTGTAACAGATTGAATAAAACATTTAAAAACAAAATAAAAAGATTATATATATATATCTTAAACCGTAATGCGGACATAGATAATAAAACAATGAAATGATAAGGATAACCGTTATCATTATTATTATCACATGGCCATGAGGTTCCGGCTCCGGCAGTCCGGCGTTCATCCGATACTTCTAGTGTCCCACACTCATTAAATGAAACAATTCCAAATTTCTACGTCTATCTTATGGATATGAAACATGAATACAAAAAAAGTTATACTCTAAGGCATCTAGAACAGTCCTTAGACCATTATCATCACCTTAGTCACTTGACACTTAACACTTATTAGGAAGTCTTTTTTGGTATTTTCTCTGCCTCACTCGACACATCTTCTCTTCCCACGCTCAGTGTCAAGATTCATAAATCCTGTGGCTTTAGCCGAATACCTGGAGAATATTGAATAAGTCCTTGAGTATTAATTACCTCCTTTCAGCACGTCTTGTTTCGCTCCTCAAATGTTTATGCGCGTTTTCGGTGTCTTATCAACGTTTACAGTTCAGCATCGTAAATAACAACAAAATCGCCAAGATCATTATGTTCTCTAGGAAAATACTGTTTTTTAAATTTGCAATCCAGCCGACGTTTGTGTTCAGATCGTACAGAAACGTGAAATCGAAACCTCACAGACAGTTCAAGAACGACAATGTCAAAGGTAACCCTGGGGGCAATCGTGTGTTGGCCATGGTCTTGGATGGAGAATCTCCAGATGTCACCGACGTAACATTAGAAGACTTCGAAGACGGCGAAAATGATATGCTTGATTCGCATTTGTTTTATGATCAGCACATGAAGTAAATTATATTTGATTTATTAATCTGTATACTGTCCGATTTAGGTTCAATGCATACTTTTGTACAACTTATTTTCAACTTTCTTTTTCTGTTAGATTAAAATAAATAAAGAGTAATGAACTAGCCAGTAAACTATATTCTTTAAAATCTCTTGAGGTTTAATTAATTGTAAATATAATCTAAGTCTATGTGTTATTTATAAAATTAATAATATCTTCTAATTTCAAACTTTATTGATTACCTAATAGTTATATAATTAAGTTTATAAATGCTGTTTTGAAAAAAATATAATTTTGAGGATAGACCAACTATAAAAATATTTATAAAGGTATAATTGAATCTATGTAATTTTGGTAGAAGATATATTTTTTAAAGTTTTTTTTATCAATTTTAGGGAAATGAAAAAACAAAAACAATTTAAATCATTTCAGAACATTAAACGAAAATATTTCAAAAGTAATATAGTACAGCCTAATTTTTTAACATACTTTGAAAAACAACAAATAAAAAACTTACATAACAAATCTCCTAAAGAATGGACTCCTCAAACATTATCAACATGCTTCCCAGCATCACCAGAAGTTATTATTGTAAGTAATTTAGAGTATATTTTTAATAATGATTATACTAGACTAGCAGTGTTTAAATTTATAGAAAATACTGAAATCTAAATGGATATCGGATGAAGGGCAAAAAATATTGAGACATGATAAATTGGTGCAACAAAATTGGGAACGTTTTCGTAATGGACTGTTTAAAGATATTTTATCTGATGAACTAAAAAATCATTTGGAAAAATTTTCAGAACGACGACCTACACTAATTACACTAGAACGTAAGTATTTTAGTACCACTGGTAGTAAGTACATTGAATTATTATATTTCACAATTACATCAATTTACGCCATGATCCCACCAAAAAAAATCTTAACCAGACCAATGAGAACTATGCCACTAGATCCCCATGCATACATCTTACATTTTAGTTACAGCTTATATATTTTTAAATTTAATTTAAAAAAAATGTTTTTGCCTAGAAAATAAATAGATATTTTTCTCTGTCTTTTGAATATTAAATTTAGGCATATTTTGATAATCATATATAAACTTATTTTACAGAAGCTGAAGCTCATATTCCCAAGCTAGCTGCAGATTATTTAAAGCCCCAGGAATTTGGACAAATAATAACAAGTTACCTTGGAGAACTCACAAATCCAATTGATGAACCAATTCAAATTGAAACTAAAGATAAACCAAACATTGAGATGATTTATGAATATGATACAACAACTAAAAGCAGTAAGAGACATTTAACATTAGAAGAATTCAAATGTGATGCTCGAAAAGAATCTTCTTCATTGTATACTACACCTCGGACATTGTTGACAAATGATAAATGTGTTGACGTAGAAAAAGTTGAAGCTAGTTTACAAGAAAATACAAGCGTTGTTTCACGCAAAGAAGCGTCTGCATTCATTGATACAATTAATGATTATCCACTTGCTATTCGAATACCGAAACAAGTTTGGAAAGAAGGATACATGTATAGAGTCAACGACTGTTTTTATGATGATAATGGAGAATTTTTATATAGAGTTCCAGGTTTAATTAAAGATGAAGATAAACAACAAAAGCAATAATAATATTCATTTGATTTGATTTATAAATATGGTATAAATATTGATATAATTGTATATTTCTTTTGAGTATGCCAAAAATACTATTTTTATTTTTTAAGAACATTATTCAACTTTAGTGGTATAAAAACAAATTTCATAAACTAAAAATAAGATGTATTAATTTATTACCACTTAAAATGCCTCGGTGTATTGCCCTCACCCTACCCTAAAAAACCACTGAACACCATATATAGAATTATGTTTGAAATGGAAATATTGCCTTTCTATTCGAGTGAATTATATATTGTAAAGACTATGACTTGTTGACACGGTTGTCACAGTTAACGACTGGGATACTTAATGAGTTAAGAATATTAATGCAAACGTTTTACACACTGTAAATAAATGTGGATAGTTGTTTTAGAAATATAATTACTTTAATTATAACTAAGCCAATTTAAATAATTTAGAAAAATTTAAAAAGTAATGAACACCATCCATTTAGAACACTAGACATATTTTACCTATTTAAATATAGTTTCAATGTAAATTTGTCAAATATTTAAAATCAAATGAGATACTTCTAAAAGTAAGCACGCAAATAACAAATACTATACATTTAAGGTGGCTACAAGTTAATATAAATTGTAAACAAAAAAAATGTAAAATTGAATCTACTTATTTTTAGGTTAAAATTATTGATATGTAGATAAAACTTTGTATGAAAGTAAATTAGAAAAAAAAAATTTATTGTTATTAGATACAATTTCTTTAAAATAAATCACAATCAGTTTATTAGAACAACAATATTATAATACATTTTACATTTATGCTTTGTTAAAATACTGCTAATAATAAATAATTATCATTGAACAGGATTGATCCTTTTACCTTTATATAAAATAAATATCAAAATTAAAATACAAATTATTCAATAGCTACAATTATAAATAACAATTTTGATTGATACATTGTTATTTTTCTAGTTAATAGTTGTTGATGTTGTATCAACCAGTACATTTACTTATATCACATAAATTAAATCTATATTAGTATTCTAATTAAGCTATATCATAAAAACCAATATATAATATAATTTTACTGATTGCGATATGACAAAATTAAAAATATTTTCTTGTTTCATACAAATTCTATTAAAATTAAAAAGTATAATTTTTTATTTTATAGTGTAAACATATAAATATTTTTGTACAGAAATTGAATTTGATTATTCATATAGCTAGGCCAAAAACTGACACAATAACATACATAGTTTTGTTTTCCCACCTAACAGTACAACTACCATCTGTCAAGTTATCCCAATAGCACGAACTTGCTGCATGAAAACCAGCACCGTTTTTTTGCATGATGGCGCATGTCACTGCCAAAAGAAATGTGTAATTAAATAAAAAAATTAAGTTACAAAAGTTAAAAATCAAATCAGAGCCACCTTTACACCGTACAGCAATTTTAAGTGGATAATTAGGGGGGGGGGGTCATTTTGAACTCAGATATGGGCTTCGTGTAATATTGTACTGGTTGGCAAAATACCTAAGGCGAGCTCTGAATCAAATAATTTCAAACAAAAAATTATAATTATTTCTACTTCACCCACCTATATATTTAAAAGGTTTGGCCAATTTACAAAGCCTTGTTAGGCAGTTTTCAACTACAGAATCTGTCCATTTATTTACCATATTTTGTTGGTATAATTGACTGCCGATTGAATGTTCAATTGAATCCTTAATAATATCGCTGACTTCATCTACCACAAAAAGGGTCTAAAACAAAAATATTTATGAATATACTTCATTTCATTACCTACTATTGCAGGACTTTGAAGTTACAACTAGTTTAACGAATAATTTATTTTACATTGTTTTGATAGTTCAATTAATTATTATCAACAATTTTAAATCAACTTTTCAGTAAAACATATTTTGTTTCAATATGATTGTGAATTATGTGCAACACATTTTTATATATTTATCAGAAATTACATTTAGAAAATTCACAAATATATAAAACAATATAATAATAACGTAATACATGAACTATTACCCCTTCGTTAGCTTCAACCATCGTTTATTCGTTTTCGATTTGATTTGAAATAAATAAATGTGTTTTTATGATATGATGTAGGTATTCACTAAAAAGTAAAACTGAGATATTTGACTTTTTCTAGTTGTCACGGCAATAAATGTTTAATAGTAAATAATTATATTATATTTATATCGATAATAAAGTATACTATATAATATTATCACTGAATATGGACTCTTATCTACAAAAGCGTTGCAGGGCCAATCATATGTTTTTTGACTCTTAACTAAGGATTATCACAATTCGTTAAATTGAATTAGAAGTTAGAACACTTAGAACTCGTAATTTTATTACGAGTTGTGCAACGCGTAAATTCTATAAAAATAATTGTTCAATGCATAATAATTACGAGTTCTAATTCAATTAAACGAATAGTAATAATCCATAGTTATGAGTTAAAAAAAAAATTATGATTGGGCCTTCAACGCTTCTATAGAATATAAAATGTCTATGATATGATAAATTATTATAATTTGTAACAAAAACGTTTTATCATTTTATAATTACATCGTAACATATTATGAAACGTTATTGTTGTCACAATATCGATAACATGTCAAAAATAAGAAACATTGGTATTTTAGCATACATAGACGCTGGTAAAATATCAAACTATTTTATATTTAGTCGTCAAAATATTGATTTATCAAATAATTTACTTTGTATTTCGCTATAATAAGTGAACTCCTAATTTTTAACAATATTGCCCAGTGCTGACTATTTTAAAAATTGATATTTATTTCAAATTATTTGTATTTTTGTTTTATGCAACTGCTAATCTACTACCACTACCGAAAGGATGTTGTTTGTTTTATTCTGGTTTAATACATAGCATGGGAGAAATAGGTACATGATGGTGGCAATACAGTTACTGATTATTACTCTGTGATACGAATCAAGAAAAAAACATAGGCATAACTAATTATTGATTTACAATTTATCAATTGTGTAGTAAAATCCTTTGTGTTTACTTAAATATTTCACAGGGATCAACATTACTTCATCTGCTGATAACCTTACCGTGGAAAGATTACAGTATTAATCTAGTAGACGCTATCCTGGGCAGGGTCGGACTGGCGTCAAAAGGGCCCAGTTTGCTCTCTGCTATCTGATCAAAGGGCCTTTTCTAAGGTTAAACTAAAAATTATGAGCTCCGCTCTCTACTTCTCTATTTTTGTATTTTAATAATATACCAATTATATGGAATGAAAAAAACACATATAAATAATAAACATTTTAGATAAATGTTTAATATCTTATACATATTTTGGTATTACAAAATTACTATTTATAAATAAAATAATTTATAATAGTTTGTTTGACCTTAAGAGGACGCTTGTGTTGTCTCGTCTTGATGTAAAAAATAGCAAAAATTATTATGAGGGGGAAGAACCACGCAGGCTGTGGCAGGAGCGGCTTGTAAGTATAGGTACTAGGAGCGACTGCTCCTGCCCTGAAAATCGGGAAACAAAATGTTTTAAGTTTAACAGGTTTATTTATAACTCATAACAGAAGATCATTCAAGTAAAAAATAAGTGTATCTATATCATAAGTTGTAAAAGTTAATGAAAAATTTAACTAAAAAAGAACTTACAATATTACCTACATTGATCCTAGTAAATGTAACGATGTAGTGGGTGGGTGCCGGGTGGGTTGCTTATAAACTTACTCCTTGAGTTATGAAGACTCATGCCGCCACTGGACTGTGGTCTAAGCTGAGTAACCATATATTTAAACTATAAAAAGGATAACATTTAATTTACTGTTTTCGTACCTACCTATTTGTGAATATCGAAAAAATAAAATCGAAGGCACATAGTAATTGTTTTTTTATTTATAGGTAGTGCGAACATCATCATTTAAATGTAAAGAAACAAAAAACTTAAATAAATGGCTTGTTAAAGTTTAAAATCACAATTAAATTTATAATTTAACTTTAAAACAGCAGTTTCTAAAGTTAATTAGAATAGGGTTGACGGTTTTTTAGATATACAGTCTATGTCAGATATATCTGATATAATTAATCATACCTCAGACCTCAGTGATAGATTTCAAGTTGTTAACTTACTTAATAATACATCGGAGAGCCTAAAAGTGACATCTGGTGTAGGTACCTCAAGGTGCACATTTATCACCGCTTTTATTTATTATTTTTATAAATACCTTACCTATCGAAGATTACCTATCATCTCGCCTTGTATAATACTATTATTTGCTGAAGACGTTAAATTGTTTCATATTCATTCAATCGCAATCCCTCACTATTCTGGAAATCTATTAAAAATTTAAACCAGAAAAACACAGTACCCACCACTCTATTCTGGAACAATGATAAGGTTGATACTCCTCTTGGTTCGGCTAACCTATTCTCTAAGTACTTTTATTCTATGTATAACAACTCTATTTCTCCACCCGTCAATATTTCTAATATTAATACTATTCCATATGAACTTCCTTCTAATTGTCACTTCTCCCTCGACGATGTGCAACTTGCACTCAACTCTTTAAAAAACACCAATTCTAATGGCCCAGACGGGATTTCAGCACGTTTACTTTTTAATTGTCAAGATTCTATTGTTTATCCTTTATTCCTACTCTTTAGGCTATCTCTTGATGAGGGTATCTTTCCAGCTGCTTGGAAAACATGCTCTGTCACCCCTGTTTTTAAATCTGGAGATCCCTCACTCGTTTCTAATTACAGGCCTATTTCCATCCTACCACACATTTCTAAACTGTTTGAGTCCATCGTCTACTCCTCAATCAAAAGAAGTCTTAATCATATTCTAATGGATGAGCAGCATGGTTTCCGTAGTGGGAAATCTACTGTCACTTGCAGCCTATCTTTCACATCATATATATTAAAAAGCTTTGAATCTGATTGTCAAGTTGATGCTGTGTTCACGGACTTTAATAAAGCCTTCGATACTGTCATTCATAGCCGCCTTATTTCTGAACTGGATTCACTTGGTATCGGTAATCCTTTACTCTCATGGCTCCAATCGTATTTAAGTCAAAGAAAGCAATTCGTAAGAGTTCACGGCGTTGACTCTGACTTATTTATTACTCCCTCTGGGGTCCCCCAAGGAGGACATCTCAGTCCTCTTCTGTTCATCCTTTTCATTAACTCAATTAACAGGTACATTTCATCCTCTAAAGTTCTTCTATTTGCCGATGATATTAAATTTTTTTCAAAAATTACATCTCCATCTGACTGTCTTCAACTTCAATCAGATCTCAATACTTTCTCTCTCTGGGCCCAGCGTATTGGCCTAACGCTCAACCTCAACAAGTGTCATGTTATGTCATTTCATAGAAAACGTACTTGCATAATCCATCCTTATTCCCTTAATGGCTCTACTCTCGAGCGTGTATCCACTGTCAAAGATCTTGGGTTCTATCTAACTCCTTCTCTTTCTTTTGAACACCATATTGATGTTACTGTTGGTAGAGCGTTAAAAATTCTAGGGTTCTTAAAGCGCAACACTAGCCTTTTCACGTCCGCTACTTGTCTTCGATCCCTCTATTTTTCCCTTGTCCGCTCTGTCTTAGAATATGGCTCAGTTGTATGGTACCCGTATCTAGCCAAGGACCAATTACGTTTAGAGCGTGTCCAAAACCGCTTCCTTTCCTACGCCGCTTTTATACTCAATATTGATCACCCACCCCATGATTACCTATCAGTTAGAACTTCCTTAGATATCCCTACTCTCGCATCTCGTCGTATCGATGCTGACCTCTCATTCATCACCTCCCTCCTTAACGGCTCAATAGATGCACCGAACCTTCTGTCCTCTGTCTCTTTCCGGGTTCCTGTGCATTTCACTAGAAATCACTCTTTATACCTTGTCTCCTCTCACCGTACTAATTACTCCCATAATAATCCATTAGACAGAATGCTCCGCCTACTTAATAGCTCCTGATCTGTAGCTGACTATATTATTATTTATCTCTACTGAATGTTTTTGTCTTTGTTTTATTTTACCTTAGCATGTACTCTTTTTAGCTGAACGCTGTTTAGTATAAGTTTAAACTTAAGTCTATAATTATAACTATATTTTCCATGTACTTTATTTCATTATTATCTCTTCATGTTAATCTTCTAATTGTACAATGTATCTATAAATTGCCGTTTGGCGTTAAATAAATAAATAAATAAAAATAAATAAAAACTCAAGAGTCAAGATGACTGCACTGCAAAATTCTATAAATAAACTAGTTGATTGATCATTGATGTAATTTGGTTGGACTCTATACATTTTGATAAATGCAAGGTACCTAGGTAATAACATTTTTCAAAACATATAGGTAACAAGATTAATTTTCATTAGGTACTTAATTCATAACAAATGTCTACCTCGAGTAGATCTTGTAGAAGATTTGGAATTTTCATTTGTACCATCTCTATATTTTAGTACTCGTGTTGAACTCATTACTTGCGAAGCACTGAGTACATAGGATTTTATTCGTCGAAATGCTTCGGACTTCAATCAAGAAAGTTGCCACTTAGTGTTATTCACATAATTATATAGTTCGGCCGATTTTGGTTTATAACTTAGCTGTTATATGGTCCCTTTATATTCAGAAAGACATACATAGGACTGAAAGGACCCTATAGTCAGATGAGTATTAGGATTTACGAATATTGATGTTTTTTTTATGGATACTTATGACTTCAAAGAGTTACGAATGATGATGCAATCAGAATTTGTTAGCCACACAGTCAGGTGATGTCCGGAAATGTAGTTGAAGAAATATAATTATTTTTTAAATATTGATCAATATTTCATAGCGTAAAATTAAACTCATAGTTGTAAATGATCTTAATGACAAATATTTTATACCTATCCAAAAATATAAAAGCCTATAGGAGAATAAACTTAGTTGAACTAAGTTATACACTTAAATTTCTCTATAAAATATGAGTGTGTAATATAAATATTTATTAAATAGTGATTCCCTTCGCCTCACGGCTCCGGTCTTCAAACTCACTGGACCCCTCTGGACCTTGAGTTGGATGAGGAGGGGGGGACATCCTGCCTTTCGGACAGACGGATGATCTATAAGAAAACTTAGCCTTGTTAGTTAAAGTAAAACAGTATATAGAGGCTGACTTCATAGAAACCAAGTCCGAACGACAGATTCTGATTGCACCATTGTACTTAAATAGTCAATATGAGTAGGTAAGTTCCAAAAATAAAATAGAAAAATTTACATGGGGTGGTAAAATGCATATTAGCCCAAAAACTGTTTAGAATTTGGCCCATTTTAGGAAACCAATGAATTTAGGGGCTTTGGTGGTACTTAGGTTAGGTCTATCTTAAGATAGATCTATCTTAGTCCGTGGGTTAGGTTAATATGCAATAAATAAGTTCAAAGTTCTAAGTTCAACAATGGAATGTTTTAAGTTTCTAGGTTATATGTTTTTAATAACAAAGTCACAAAAATCGCTTGAGAAGAAAAATATTTATATATCTGCATTTCACAATGTCATATTGTCATTTTAAAATTTAAACTTGAATAATTTCTTATACGAGTTTATGTGGCTTTAAGCGCTATATATTTTTTTAAATTACAGTAAAACAATTCTCAGCTATGAGTAATCTATTATTAAACGCTCAAGCCTATTTAAAGTTTTTAAAAATTGCATGATTTTTTGTTTTATATGTGTTTTTAATATTTTTTTAATCGACGTAAAAACCGCTTCTGAAGAATCTTGTATACAAATAATTGTCAAGGTCTTTTAAAGACTAAAAAGGTTGAACATTTTAAATGTCAAGCACAAAAAGGTGCAAAATATTTTGAGTTAAATCGTGCAGATAAAAATATGTTATTTGCTTTTTATTCCCAAACTCAAATTACCAACTATTTTACATTCAATTTGCACCAGAAACCATCCTCAGAGTTAAAGATTAAAGCATTTTCCTAGTCCTAAAGTTGTCGAACACAAAAAAAACACATCATTTTATGGTAATTGGTAAAAAAATATATATAAAATAATCAATTAATTATGTACCTATCAGCTGGTCAGCTCAGAATTTTTTTAAATGACAAATTACAGACTGCTCAGTGCTGTCAAAATATTGTGCTATGGTGCTGAGGAGGTGCCTATGTGAGTACTGAGTAGCGATTTAGATTACATAATCTTAAATCATTGTGTAATACTGAAATCACTTATCGGTTTGGTTAATAATAATATACACATGGCTTTTTATAATAATTTATATAACTCAAATAAAGTATGATCTAACAATTAATTGATAATCTTCCGTGACCCGTGCTTGTGAGTGTATTAATATTTTTAACCTAAGCAGTAATACCCCAGAATAAATACCTATGTATAATATTAATAATACTTATAAATAAGTAATAACTTCTAGCAAGGCACCGTCGACTATAGGTCTTTCATTCTGTAAAGTCTACAGGTAAGCAACAGGTTGTCACATGTCTGTGATGCATATTTTGATGATCCACTGTTGACAGATATCTATTACTTGTGCAAGCCCATTAAAATTGAAGTTTATATTATTATAGGCCAGCCGAGTTCAAGCTACAGACACTACTATTTCATTTGTACCTACATCATCCTGTAGAGATGGCTACCAGATGGGGAATAATAGGCACCAGCAATATATCGCACGATTTTGCTGTGGCCATGGGAACATTGCCACGGACAGAACACTTGATCACATCAGTGGCGTCCAAAGACAAGGTGAGGTCTCGAGAATTCGCCGAACAGTTTGATATTCCCAATTCGTATGATTCTTATTCTCTCATGGCAAATGACACCGAAGTAGGTAAGATACCTAAATTTTTTAATTTTATAATTTATGATACATTTAAGTAGATAATATATGTATATATATGTATCATAACAGTCAATAGGTATATGATATTTATTAATAATTATTATGTAATGAGTAATTTGTAACAGACGTTGTTTATGTGGGCACCCTCAATGAACACCATTACTCTGTCAGTCGCTTAATGTTGGAACACGGTAAGAATGTTTTATGTGAAGAACCATTTTGTCAAAATACTAAGCAAGTCCAACAACTTGTTGAAGTAATTATGTCTTATATTTGTATTTTATTAAAATGTCTGGTTTTAATAGCTAAACGCAAGTTTACCTTTTTCAATATGCTGTTGATAAAAAAACAACATTTTTACTATTTCAGCTTGCGAGGTCTAAAAATGTGTTTCTTATGGAGGCCATGTGGATGTTTTTCACTCCGGCATTCACTATTTTAGGAGAAGAAATCAACAAAGGTACAATTGGTGAACCATTGCAAATAATTTCTTCATTCGGTACCCCAATGTCCGAATCACTAATTCAACAGTAATAAAAAATTTAGTTCCTCTCTTATAGTTAGTTAAAAAAATATTAAATAATTAATTGACCAAATTTGATAGACGAAATAGTGGTGGATCAATATTAGAATTGGCTGTATTCTCAGTTTACATGAGCCAATTCCTGTTTGGTCCTGAAAAACCACAAATCTATGGCACTTATGGACAGTTGACAGAATCTGGATTTGATAAGGATGCAAGTATAATTTTAAAGTATAGCAATGGTAAAATATCTACCTTTTTAAGCCATTTCAAAGTCAACCTACCTAATGAGGCAACTGTATTTGGAACCAAAGGAAATATTAAAGTAAAATTTAATTTAAAATGACCTATAATTATATATGATAGCAAAATTATTTTGTTAGTTACACGATCCATTCTGGTCAGCGACTAAAATTACTGTAAATGGAACAGACATTAATATAGACGTGCCTAATACAAAAAAAGCAACAAGATATGGTAATAGTGTGCAACTAATTTACGAGATTCAAGAAGTTAGAAATTGTCTTCTGAAAGGTAATTATAATTTAAAAAAATATTCATTTTGCAAGTTTGCATAAAGTATTATGTCCAGGGGCATGCCTAGGGAGGGGGGGAGGATCAGACCACCCCCGAAAAATAAAAATAATTATTAATAAGTTGACCATAATATAATATATATGTAGAGCTTGATTAGGCGAGGCCTGGAGATAGACCCCCCCCCCCAGGCATGCCTAACCTAACCTGATAATGTCCATAGAAATTTCAATAGAATATATAATTAAAATAGTTCTAACTCAATTGCTTGTACATGTATTATTGCAGGTTTAAATGAGAGCAGTATAGTTCCATGGTCGCTAAGTATTGAGAATGCCATTTTGGTTGAAGATATAAGAAAAAAATTAGGAGTAACTATTTGTGAATAATAGAAACCAACTTTGGTAGCTAATCAAAATTAATATAATTTATATTTTACATTTTATGTAAGTAATTGTTTAAATGAATATTATATTTCAATATTTTACTTGTATTTTTGTAATTAAGTTTATGTAATAACATATTACTTTTATGCTACTCAAAAATATATTACTTTGCATGCTGCTCAAAAACATATAAGTCCAACTATCAAAATTCATTAAATTATAGATAAATATACTTGATAGCATTATATTATACTTGCTGTTCCTATATACTATTGTTTTTTATTTTAGGTACAAAATATTGCTAAGCTGGATAAACCTGACCTCCCAACATCCTATAGACCTATAAGTCTATTGCCATACTTATCAAAAATTGCAAAAGAATCATCCTCAAACATATTTATCCGCACATAATATCAAAAAAATGTACTCCCATCCTCAGAATTTGGCTTTAGAGCCAAATACAGCACCACCAGGTCTATACAATAGTTGATGCAACCTCTACCTCTCTTGAAAACAAATGCTACTGTAATTGTGCATTTTTAGACATCTCCCAGGCATTTGACAAAGTCTGGCATGAAGATCTTCTGTTTAATCTTCGTAAATTTCTTCCTCTTACACTATTTCTTCTAATGGAGTCTTACAGACCGTTAACTAATTAGTGCAGGAGTACCCCAAGGAGGTGTATTTTCTCCTATCTTATTTAATATTTATGCTGCCAATCAACCTTCTACACAAAATACTATTTTTGCTGATTATGCTGACGATAAAGTGAATACTGATCCACTAATTGTCTCAAAAAATTTACAATTCCACCTAAATCTACTCTCAGAATGGTATGCCAAATGGAAAATTATAACAAATCCATTCACACAACTTTCATCCTAAGACACGGACTTTGCCCTAACGTAACTGTAAATAATTTACCTATCCCTGCTCATGACACTGTTAAATACTGAAGACTAAACCTTGATAAAAGACTAAAATGGCAAAACCATATAAGAAAAAAAAAGATTAATACTTAATGCTCATGCTCACTAAAAATATTACTTTCAAAAAATAAATTCTCATCTTTAAAAACCAAACTTCAAGTATACAAATCTCTTCTGGAACCCATATGGACGTATGGAATTCAACTATGGGGATCGGCAAAAAAATCAAATCTAAATAAAATTTGGGCCTTCCAAAATATTACCCTTCGCAAAATCACAAATGCACCACCCTTCGTTCTTAACATAACCCTACACAAAGACTTAGGTATTAAAACAGTAGAGGAAGAAGCTGCTATTTTCTATAAACGATTTTATAATAAATTATTAAACCATGAAATCCTCTAATAAAAGGATTACATATTCTGTTACTTCCTGGAAATCCCCGCCGCAGGGTGAAAAGGAAATGGTGTAGGGATCATCTAACCTAATTCTAATAAGTTATAAGTAATTAAATAATAAACAAGCTAAGTGCTACTGATGGGTGGCTCCTTATTCATGTTACTCCATAATGTTTTGTTACCCTGATCTTACATATATTTATTGCGCTTAATAGTATAGATTGTGTATTTCTTGTAAAAAAAAGGTATAAAATGAATATCAACTGTTGAGAATTACTCTCAACAATTATAAAATATAAACAATAAATATCAAACAGTACAGTAAACCTAAATAAATTAATATGAATGGAACCATATTAAGAATAGTAGAGTCCCTTATATCTAGAGGGGTAACAACATTTCAAACCCTGATGCAAATAGTAAACAAATATCATATACATAGATTAAATCCTGTCACATACCTAATGGCTTCTGCTAGAGCTGGTGCAATTACATCAGGTAAATAAATACCAATTACCACGCCACTAGTTTTGTATCACTAAGTAGAAGATTAGTAGTTTATGTACTTCCCAATGTCTGAATAATATTATGAAAGTTTGTATGAATTTATTAGCTTCTTTCTAGGCTATCTAGGAAAAATAATTTTTGAGTTTTTAGTATAACAATCTTTAAAATAAAAATTATTTTTTAATTTTATATATTATGTTGTCCTAAAAATTAAATATTTTTCCTATACAACCAAGTTAAAAATTTAATTATTACAAACCTTTTGATACAATTTAAACAGACCACTGGTAGTACTTGGAAAAATTTTTCATTTTTGCAGTTTCTTCAAGTAAATACTTAATTAGTACATTAAGAGGACTATAAGGAGTGTTTGAGTTAATATATCATAATTTTAAGTGATACTAGCTTTTTAATTTTTACGAACACTAAATAAAACACTGTACACTCTGTATATAACCTAAGATTATAGTTATTGACTTTTAATTTAAAAAAATTAGTAAAATAGTTTTTGAAATCATGAGTAAGTGTTTACCTTTTTTGGTTTTAAAAAAAATTAACCTATATCTACTATTCATATAATCTCAGAATAGGACAATTTCAATTGACTTAAAGATATTTTGTTCATCTACAAAATGTCAAAATATCATTTGTTATGCAATTTATGACATTTGTTTAAATTTTCCAATTTTACTTAGGAAATTAGTCTGACAAACTGTATTTTAAAAAAATTGTCTTTTTTCCCTCTACCAAGAGAATACACTATACGGTACCATTTTAGGCAAGAATTAAAAATTAGTAGTTTGAAAAAATTTTTAATTGCAAAAAAATCAAATAAAGATGGTTTTCTTTCATATATTATATAGTAAAGATTTTGACGAAAACAAAAAAATTATCTCAAATAAAAAGTAATTTAAGTTTATAATCATTGAACTATATGCTTCATCATTCATCATCATCATCGTCTTCTTGAATATAACGATAAGGAATTGAACGATTTATGCACTGGCGTGTTGGGCGAGAGCCTCCAGCTACTGTACTGTCCGACCAATTAGTTTCATCAGAGTTTAATTCAGAACGGCTATCTTGTGATCTTATTGATCTAAATAAAGAATAAAAATAGATATATTTTAAATAACAAGTACTGAAGATGATATGGGTTCATATATATATAATCTTACTTAATTATCTTTGATCTCCTTTTCTTTAATGGTGCTTCATTCTGTATACTTGGAGTTCTGTGAGTATCAAAAAGTAGTAAACATTGATAAAAAAATAATGTTTAATCAATTTTATGATTTCAACTAGTAAGTTTATTGGTATGAATTTAAGTTTTTAAAAGTATTTTATCTGATAAAAATTAGTATTAAAAAATATTATACTCAAATTTAAATTATTTAACAAAACTCAATATACCAAAATGCATAAGTAGACAAAACAAGAAATAATTAATATTCAACATTTTATATTTTAATAATTATATGAATTAATGATTAATTATGTAATATTTGAATTATCATTAAAGTATAACAATATTTAAATTGCATAAAAGTTATTATTTTATCACTTACCACATTAAAACTAAGTACTTTTTTTTTTGGTTCTTGTTATCGAGAACCGAGGGAGGAACTGCTATTGGCATTGCTTCTCCCCCGGTCCCCATCGTTTATTGTGTACATATACAAATAAATATATAATTAAGTACTAGAGTTACTACATCTTGCAAATTATTTGCATGATTTGCATTTATTTATACTATTCATATAAATTATGATATAGGTAAATATGTTTTCTTCATAATGTTGATAAAATGAAGATATTGTTGAAATGTAAAATGTAAAAATATATTATATAATATATATCTTAAAATATCAAACTAAATTTCATGCATATTGAAAATAATATTTTCCATACATATAATTTAATAAAAAATAACTGTAAAACACATAGCCAAAATAAAATTATTATAATTATTATCAATCACATTTATCAAAAGCATGCATTATTTATATTCATTTATAAGTAATTGATTTACATTAAATTAAATTAAAAGATTCAAATCTACTAATTTAAAAAATCAAATTAAACACAAATTGGATAGCAAAATATATTTTATTACAAGATAGGAACACACAACGGTGCATAAAAACTCCAAGATGACATTGGTGATAACAGCTTAAATTTAGTAACTGAAAAAAATAAAAAATTTAGCATTGAAAATTTAATAAAATAAAAATAATAAAAGCATACTATATCGCAAAAATATTACAAATAAAAATAATTCTCCGCTTAGATGCTAAAGCATTAAAAATTAATGTAATTCAAGTATATAAAACATATAGCTTAATTAAAACTGTAATGGTTTTATTACCCAAAATCTTGATCTGACCCTTCATCATCTTCGTCATCATCTAAAAAATAAATGTAGAAAATAATTATTTATATTATTAATTTTTTTTTTTTATTATTTTTTTATTTTTATTATTAAATGGTTTATTTACAAGTTTCTTTTTTGTTTCTACGCGTGTATGCCCGCCGTGAAGTTACTGGTCCAGGTTCAGCATCACCATGCATTAAGCTGTTTCTATAAATGACCCAAGGCTGCCAATCTTCACTGCGACTTGAGGGGACTGCTGAAGTTATGTGTTTATCCAAATAATTAAGACTAAAAGTAAATAACAGTTAGGATAAGTAACTTTAGAATAGTATAAATTCAAAATATCCATACACAATCCGTTTATCTTGTTTAAGTAGTTTGTTGGTGAATTCAGCTAATATCTCCAAAAATGCAACATGTGGTGGTGGCACTGACGGATCATCTTGAACAATTCCTTCATCAGTTCCTACAGCAAATAAAACACCTTCACGGTGTAAAGCTGCCATAGCTTCACGATTTTTTAATGCATCCAATCCAAATGATAAAGCAAATCTTTTGGCCAATTCCTGATATAAAAAAAAATTTATTCAGTCAATTTGATTTAGTTTTGTTAATCCTAGTTAACTATACCTTTAAACTGCTGAACTCTTGAGAAGATCTTGATATACGGAATGTGCCACAGTTGATTTGTAGTTCTCTAAATGATGTTATTAAACTGACAACCATAGTTCTTGCACAAATTACTTTATTAATTTCACGTGCCTTTCCAATTGTAGTCTTAATAATATCTCCATATTCATTATATGACTAAAAATAAAAAAAATAATCACGAATCAAATCCTATTTATTGATTTAATGATAACATTTCAATTCATACTTTGACATAATGCTTAAAGATATCTGCAGCGCAAGTAACCGGAATCATCCCATACACAATTAGTTTACAATAAGATGCTAAAAAGTTTCTTCTTTTATGTAGTTCTTCGATTTTTGAATGTTCATCTTGAACACCTGTTTATTTATTTGGATTTATTAGTCTAAGTCTATTTTTCAATATTT